AAGCCTAACTCTATATTTTACCTTTTATAATTATTTCTAATTTATAACTATATTACTTTAAATATATCTAATTATTATATCTATTTTCCCTATTATATATACTACTATTTTAGCTTTATTTTCTTACTAGAAAGAAAGAAAAACTCGAATATATATAATACTTTTATATAATTCAAGACTATTTTAATTTATTTTTTATTTTAAAATATACTTAAAAGAAATTCTTATAATTTCGAGAACCTTTAATTCTATAATTTATAACTATTATACTAATAATATCTTTATAATCTATTAAAAATAATAAAATAGCCAAAATATAGATCTCTTAAGCTAGTAAAGTATAGTAGCTAGTTCTTATAAGCTATAGTATTATTAAAAGCTTATAGATTAATAATATTAAAGTTTAAAGTATTAAAGAAGCTTAGGTAGTTATAAAAGGCCTACTAATACCAGAAAAAATAGCTATAATTACCGAATTTAATACAAATATCCTAGATAAGCTAAGTAATATATATAATAAGCTCTTAAAATAGAAAACCTTTATTAGAAACGGAACTAGACTAGAATTAACTAAAGAGGAGCTAAAGAACTACTAAGCCAATAATAGGAAATTCGAGAATATTATTAAAGGCATTTCTAAAAGTAAATAAGAAAAGCTTAATAAGATTAAGACTATAGTAAATAGTTTTAATATTAAGAGTCAGAATGAAATTATACTATATAGTAAAGCTTTTAGCTAATATATTAATAATATCTATAATAACCTTAGTAAAAATATCTATAAGAAGTTATATTTTCTCTTTAAAATAAAAGCTTTAGTATATAAAGCTATTTAGTTAATTAATAAAGCTATTTTAGAATATATTAAGAATAAGAAATATTAGAATATTAATATATTTACTAAATCAGATATTACTAAGATATTTAAATATATTAAAGCTATTTCGGAATATAGAGAATTAGAGTTTAAGCTACTATTAGCTAATAATTTTAAGGCTAGATAATATATCTTTAATACTTCCGGAATTCTAATTAAGGGAGTTTATAGTAATAAGTCTTTTCTTGCTTTTCGAGATAAACCTAAAAAATAGGCCCTTATTATAATTTCTGCTTTAACTTAACTAGATCTAGCTAAGAAAAATAAAGCTAATTTAATAGAGCCTAATAAGAAAACTACTAGTAAAGCTAGCAGAACTAGTATAACTAGATAAGAAGAATCTGGCAAGAATAGAAAGTAAGCTAAGCCTAAAACTTCTAATAAATAATAGAGATCTAAATACTAGATTAAGTATAAGATTAGTAAAATAGAGGAAAGTAAAGAGAAATCCTTTATTCTAAAGGAAAAGATATTATCTAGAAAGACTTCTATAACTATATCTAGAATTAAGAAGCGGAAAACTAAAAGTATTAAGTCTAAAGAATTTAATAAAAGCATTTAATATACCTATAAGATACTAGCTAAATAGAAGTTAATATTTGCTTAGTAGAATAAGTATACTTTTAAGGAGATATATAGTAGTATTTTGGGATCTATTTATAAGCGAGAATATTATAGAATTAATAATAGATTTCTTAAAACTCCCTATATAATATATACTTAGTAACTTACTAATACTTTCTCTATTAATATATAAGAGATTAAGGACGCTCTAAAGCTAGTTACTAAGATCTATAAAGTTATTAAAAGCAAGAAGTATATTTCTATTACTTAGATAAATAAGGAAATATAGGATTTCTTTTTTAAGAACTAGAAAATTAAGAAATATAAATATAAGTACTATATTTCTAATTAATTCCGCTCTAATCTATAGCTTTAATTTAATACTATAGTCTCTATTCCTGAGTCTAGTACTACTAATCTAGGTACTAATAGCTATATTTATAAGAAGAATTACCTAAAGTAAATTAAGAAGCTTAGTATTTAAGAGCTCTTAATAAAAGAGATAGAGATACTATAATTCTACTTTTAAAAAGATAATATATTAATATAGAGAGATTTTAGTAATAGCTACTTTATCTTAGCCTCTTAATTCTTAATAGCAGATTCATTAATATAGCTCGGATTTTATAAGGCATTAAGCAAGTATTTTATTTATCTAGTTACTTACCTTTAGCTAGCCCGATATTTTACTTCTGGAAATATTAATTATAATTAGTATAAAGGTAATACTAAAGATCTGGCTATTACTAAAGCTTTAAGTAGCGAATTCTACCTTAGTAAAAAGTATCGAAATATTAGTTATATTTTCCTTATAGACTATAAGAAGGCCGTTACCTTTAATAAGAAGTTTTTTAAAAATATTAATTACTTTTTTATTTCTAATAAATTTAAGCTAGAAGTAGCTAAGGAAATAGGCGAGTATTTACTAAAGGCAGTAGAAAAAAAGACTTCGAATATAGTCTATTTAACTAGACAAATAAATACCTTTAGCTAGGTAATCTATAAGTTTGAAATTATAGGAAAGTATTAATTCTCGGATAATATATAAGTTAAAAAATAGCTTAATAATAATTTGCTACTTAATAGGCCCTTTACTATAGTTCTAATAAGTCTAGTTACTATTAAGAATAGAATATACAAAAATAGAGTCTCCTATAAGATTATTAAAGCTTCTTATCTAGAGCTTTCTCCTCTTACTAAAAGTTAATTTAAGGATATTATAGATAATACGAAATTTAAAGAAGCTATTTATTTAGAGTATATTAGTATAATTTATAATATAATTCGCTATAATAAGCCTTCTTAATATCCTATAGTAAAGGCGGAAATTAAGTAATAATTAAAGGCAGATACTAATTAATATAGAGAACTATATCGGATTTAGTATAAGAATATAGCTAAGCGGATTCGAATTACCTTTAAGCAAGTTCGGGAGTATGAAATAAAACTATTTAAGGGTAATAAGTCTTATTTTAGGTATATAAAAGAGAAATTAGATTAACTAATAGAGGAAGATCCTAAATATTTTATTATTTCGGATTCTAAATAGGATTTTTCTGTTATTTTTTAGTATTTAGAGGATAAGTACAAATAAATAAGGGATTAGATATAGTATAGTAGGCTATACTTATTAAAAATTATATTATTTTAGCAGTTTTAAGGTTTAGGTTATATAATAAAGACTATAGCCTTTTATATATAACTTATAGAAATTATATAAGAGAGCTAGTTTTTCTATAGACTTAGAGAATAATTCTTTATAAATATTTAATTAATTGAGCTTATATATATTATATACTATTTATACTTTACTATTTATACTTTACTATTTATACTTTACTATTTATACTTTTAATTTATTATTTTGCTATTAAGTTACGTTTTATACTCTAGTATACTTTATATAAGTTTTTGTCTTATTATAGTTTCCCTCTTATACTAGGTAGTTATTTCGCTAGGATTTTATATTTCCTTTATCTTTAATTACTTTATTATATACATTTTCCTTTTACTTTATATTACTTATTAAGTACGTTTTCCTTATCTTATTATTAGTTTATATAAGGATATATAAAGTTCTTAAGGATGGCATTTATTAGGCTAATAGAAGATATATAATAATATAATTATAGTTACTAGAACTAGAATTCCTATAGAATTAATAGAATTATTTAGGAATATACTAATAATTCCCATATTATATATTAATTAAAATTAAAATAAATCTTAACTTATAAAAAGCCTATATTATTAAATAAATTTAGTAAATACTTATTTTATTTACTAATTTTAAAAAATATTAAAAAAAAACTATAATATTTTAATATTTTAAAGATTAAAAATTAAATAAAAATATTTCTGAGTTTTTTATATCCTATATAAGTAATATAAGTAGTTTTATTTAAATTTAATTAATAGCTTTTATATAAAACTATTATTATTTATTATTTATTTATTATTTTATAGTTTTAAAAAAAATTAAAATTTCAATTATTTAATAATATATAAAATATAAATTCCTTATATAAATATATATGCATTAATATATAAGATTTAAAAAACTTAAAGTTTTATTTTTAGATATTTTATTTCTAAATAAACTAATTTTTAAAAATATTTTTTTAAGAAAAAAATTACGTCTTTTATAAACCTTTAAAATAAAGTACTTATATTTACGATATTATTATTTTTAAGGTTATAATATATAACTATTGCTATTTTTATATATTATATTTAAAAAAGGAAGTTTTTTTATTAATTAATATAAAAGTTATAAAGGTATTAAAACTATAAGTTTTCGCGATTTTCTATGCAATTCGGCCGTGCATTTAAGCGGGAAATCGAGTAGTCGATAATCGATAATTATCGTTTATCGGAGCTCACCCGAGTCAAACTATCTACACCTGGACCCTCATGACATGATCCTCTGGAATGCGTGTCTCCCTCGGTCTATGGCTTGAATCCATGCAATTGACATGCCACAGGCGATAGAAGAAACGCCAGTTACAACGATAATAATAATTACAGTAACGAAACAGGATTCATCGGCAAACTCAGTGCTCGCCGAAAACCGCATGCAGACTTTCTGAATAAGGCAAACTTTTCAGAGTTCGAGAACGATGTGATAGAGAATGCCGACAAAGGAGACAAAGTAGCTCTTCATGAATTGCAGGCAGAAATCTCACACTCTGCTCAATGGAAATTCTACGCTGTGAAGGCCATCTTTGAATTCATTCATGCTGATGAACCTGAAATGGAAGAGCCTTGGACATCCACGCCTTCCTGGCATAGCAAATAAGGCCAACGAAGCTCTCAGCCTGGGATAACTCCGGCAATCTTGAAATATTCGTACCCTCGGCGGACTCTTCCCCGGAAGTCCACCGCCAGAAGGCTCACTGGGGCCATGACTTGCGCTGGCGGGGCTGCTCGCTAACCCGGGCTGGGGAAAGTTCAACGTCATCCAAGACTCACCCAACCATTCGCCTCGACTTTCCATCTCACCAAATTTCACGACAAGACCACTCTATGAGGCCGGAACAATCTTCGCTCGATCTTTTCCATGGCAGCGAACAGACGATCGGAGCGAGGATTGGCAACTTCTCTAGATTCTTCAAATGTACGAAGGCAAGAATGCGTCCGGTTGTGGCGGAGCAACCAAGCCAAGAGAAATATGGCCGACCCTAACGCAACTAAAGAAGCGACCAAGAAGTGCCGTCGACCTGATCCTTCTACGAACGTTCTTAGGGTGTTCCATGCCATGACTGCTGAGGAAGTAGCTCGAATGGCAGTACCACGGATTGGATGAATCTAATCGATGTGGAGATCGCCCGGATAGCGACTCAAGAATTTCGAGCTTGGCAACATGGTTTGGGGGAGTTGGCAGGTGCCTCCAAGACCACCAGCCTTCCCTGTTCCTTCTCTAATCGAGGCCCCGCGATCAACGTTGCGGAGTTGACGAAGGGGGAACGAGATACTCTTCTCCTCAACACTTGCCAAGAGTTGATATCTATATAACTGGAGACACTTTGGACTCTTCATCTTCATCTTCTCTCTTCATCCCATTGTCACCGCATACACACAATCATTGCATCATACAGACTAACGACACTGTGTGATCAGCTTTCTCCTCGACCACACCTCACTGCCCCCGGACTCGAATTTTGGACGAAACCACCACTTCGCAATGGAAGAATCGACATAACGAAAGGCGTCAACGGCTACGGCAAACCAAGATATCGTCAACAACCGCAAGCGCAAGCCAATTGACGACCATGAGGTCACAGGTGCGGGACAGATCACGACACGTCAATCAATCCTCCCTGTCGCTCTCGTAACAATCCTTTTCTTCATGTGGGGATTTGCGTACGGACTCTTGGATGTCCTGAACTCACACTTTCAAAGTGTCTTGAATATCAGTCAGGGAAAATCAGGTGGTTTGCAGGCAGCATATTTTGGAGCATACTTCATCGGACCCCTTACGTATTCGGGATGGATTGTCCGCCGATTTGGATATCAGTGGGCTTTTATCTTCGGTCTCTGCGTGTATGGCGTTGGTGCTTTGATGTTCTGGCCATCTGGGGTCAAGAGATCGTGAGTATTCCCTCTTTTGGTTTGGAATGAGGTGTGCTGATTGATCTTAAAGGTTTGGTGGGTTCTGCGGCAGCATGTTCATCGTTGGAAGTGGCCTCTCCACACTCGAAACAGCAGCCAACCCGTTCATAGCCACCTGCGGACCTCCAAGATACTCCGAACTTCGTCTCACACTCGCCCAAGCCTTCCAAGCTATCGGCACCGTCGTCGCTCCTGTACTTGCATCCCAGGTCATCTTCAAGAACGTGAATGACAACTCTCTCACGTCGGTTCAATGGGTCTACCTGGGGATCGCCATCTTTGTCTTCCTCCTCGCCGTCGTTTTCTTCTTCGTTCCTCTTCCGGAGGTCACCGATGCAGACATGGCAGATCAAGCCCAACAGTCCGCGGGAGACACCGACTTCGAAGACAAGCCCCTCAGACAACAATACACCCTTTTCTATGGTGTCTTTGCTCAATTCTGCTATGTCGGTGCTCAGGTCGCATATGCCGGGTACTTCATCAACTATGTCACTTGGGTCAGACCTGGCACATCGCATGCCGCTGGCTCGAATCTCCTAGCCGTGGCTCAAGGATGCTTCGCCGTCGGGCGTTTCCTCGCCAGCGGTCTCCTCAAATTTGTCAAGCCTCGCTTCGTGCTCATGGCTTTCATCTCCGGCGTCGTCTTGTTCGCAGCATTAGCGATCGGACTTCAAGGAAACGCGGGAATTGCATCTATCTGTCTCGTTCTCTTCTTTGAGTCCTGTGTGTTTCCTTTAATCTTCACTCTCTCCCTCCGTGGACTCGGTAGACACAGCAAGCGGGGAGCCAGCTTCATTGTTGCGGCTGTCAGTGGAGGAGCACTGTTTCCGCCTGTGCTAGGAAGCGTCGCCGACGCGCTTGGGGGAAATACGCAGCATGCTTTCTTTATTCCGTTGATTGGATTCGTGATTGCGTTTACGTTCCCTGTTTACTTGAATATGTTTAAGGCGAAGAGCTTGGATGGCTGGACGGAGAAGGTGAAGGTGGGGATTGAGACAAATAGAGATGAGGAGAATGGGTCGGGGGATGAGTGGGACGAGAAGGAGCATCAAGCTCAGGTTGAGAAAGAATGAGGGTGTAATGTACGTGGAGGTTCTTGCGTCGAAAGTGATACGCGACTTACACGTTTTCATAGAGGATAGAATACGTCCATTCGACCACAAATGCCACACCACCTGCTCAGCTGAGCAGACCGCACAATATTGACAACGATGGATGCTTGGAACTTGATCGCAACAGTATACTCAATTGAAGGAACTCAAAATCTGTATGCATTCAAACATCATACGGCGTGAACCAGCCCTTGGAGTTCAACGCCTCTACGGCACCTAGCACATCTAAGCTGTTCCTCGGTTCCGTGATTTTCTTCACACTAATCTCGTGCCTCGTGAGTTTATTCTTCATGGACAACCACCATCTCTTCACCAAGCCCAAGAAATCCAAATCCTCAGACTTCCGCTTTACAGAAGTCGTGAGATTAGAGTCAATCCTCACCCACGTCCCATTGGAAGGTACCAACACCGACCCGTTTCCTAAAACAGCAACGTTGATCCGATTTATAGTAATCGCTAACTTCTGGAATTTCATTGGGTGCCACACCTGTCCTGCAGCGTTAGCAATGTCTCATCGGACGAGGGAATACCTCCTGAAGACGACGCGTAAGTAATCTGACAGCCTAACAAGAAAATATGTTAAGTGCGTTTGATTTGGATCAGACTTTGCCTGGTTGGGCCATAGACAATGGTAGGCCTTCGTTAGAAATGTGCTCAAATAAGTCAAGATATAATTTACTAAGACCGAGGTCTCACTCCAGGAGATTGCTATATGACCCTCGAATCCTCGATGCCTCGGCTCTTTTCAAATCATTGGACTTCGGCAAAGATGGCTCGAGCACAAGGAAGAGACTCAAAAGGAACTTGGGGCTTGCAGCTCTGCACCTCCAAAGAACATGAGTATGTCCTTGAAAAATTGACAGCGCAAGGGATGAACAATCTTGGCTGACCTTGCACGCGGCTTGACCTGGTCGAGAAAGGTACCTTGCTCCGTTCCGTAATATTTGGTACATTTACAGTGTGCTCGTTTATCGAGGATGGTTCTCTTTATCAAATTGCGAGGTTACCTCCGTCAATTTCCCCAATTTTGGGTCCGAGCACGAGTGAGACTTCGCGACCAGGTCCTTTAGCACCTGGTGTGAAGTTGGCCATTACGCTCGGTGGTACATTTCGCATTGGGTGTACAAATTCAAATACGAGAGTGTAGGGTTCAATCTTGCCTTGTGACAAGTATACACCCTTGAAGCCAGAGGAGGGGACGAAGCAATATATGCTTGCGTGCACGACCGAGCGTCATGAAGTGAGGGTGGAGATCAGACTATGGGTAAATCGCAAACTAATACCACTAGAGCGTCTTGATAGAACGAGCGCTAGACTTACGCATATCGACACAGACGGGCAAGTTGGGTAACACGACGAAGTTGTTGATCTCATCACTTCCTACGACGTCCATTTGATGGAGGATAAGCCTATCAACATCGTCGTAACAAAATCCTTGGTAAAGAGCTCCACCGCAACCAATTTTGAAAGTCAGCCACATGCACACTTCAGGGACGTTCGGGACTGCCTTGGAGTGACTGATTTGTCTGTATTTGCCCTGTACAGACTTTGGACGAGTGCTTTGGGCCAAGTCCATGGACCGGAGTCATTCGAGCCAAATACGATTGGGCGAAGTGTGGAACAAATTCTAGGGGCTGCCTCAGTTCCCATTAAGCAGCAAGTTTGCAGAGACATAACCAAGAGTATAATATACAGGCTTTATAGTATGGGATTACAAACGTTGCACAAGTGAGACGCGAAGTTAAAGAGTAAAGATTAATTGAGTTCTAAGAATGGAAAGGAGAGCGGGGTATATATATGCTGCTGCGGACCTCCGGATGTCACATAACCGCGCCACGTGACCAGAATCGAAATCCCCACCATGTTGAAATTAGGGGCCTGAGGCCCCTAATAGGCTTAGTAAGCCCTGGAACAGAGCCTTAGGGGCTGTGTACTAATGGGGCTTAAGCCATAGGCTTATTACTGAGTATATTATGCCCTGTAAGGTTAATTCAGGGCATAATATGCCCTGTGAGGCTAAATCGGTTCAGCTGAGGTTGAATAGTTCAGTATAAGGCTCTCTGGTTTAGGGGTTTAGTGCATGTGACTTAGGGGGTTCAGGGCTATATATACAGGCTACTTACCACTGTAGAACAGCAGTCAATTCAGTACGTTTTACTTGGTTTACATTGCAAGCACGTGACCCTAGCTTTATTATTTAGCTAGTTCAACACACCATAATAGTTCTATACAATCTGGTCCAACTCAAAACTATTATACTAATGCCCAAGAGAATAGCTTTAATATTCCTTCAATATCTTCCATAAGCTTAAGTATTTGAATAACATAAAAGCAAACTACATAATGCCGAATTCTAGTACTAAGGAAAGAGGAAGAATCCACTTTAATACTTCTAGAATAATTCCCGCAAGATTAGAGGCACGAAAGATTTCGGCTAGGAAAAAAACAAGATATAAAGAAATAGCAAAGAGAAGAACTCGTACCTTATATTTATGCTTCTAAGTCTCTTTATAAGGGGCATAAAGGAGCGAGATACTCGGCCGGAAATGCATAAGACTCGGCAAGGTCGTCGGGAACGAGTACCCATTTGCTATGGACACAAGTGCAAGTACTGGGGAGCTGGTTTAAGTAGCAGCAGGCATAACTTCCCTCCGGGCTGCAACTAGCGTCGATATGGACCTGGGCCTGGGCCGTAATAGCGGTTACTATCATAGTAAGGGTAGAAAGAACGGAATAGAATTGCATAGTGTGGCAAGTGCAGAATGCGCTCTCTGAGGAGCATAAATTTGGTGCTCCGGAACGCTTATATAAGGGGAAATGAGACGAGGAGCCAAGCTCCTGAGCCACGTGAGATGGGCATGCAGAGGGCACTTGCCATGCAACACATAGTAATAGCGATTTGGTTAAATTGAAAGAAGCTTAAAAGATTAAAGTATATTTTCTTAATTGATTTGCGAGAAGAATTTTAATATAATAGAGGTTTAAAGAGGATTAAACAAATATATATATCTTATATTTTATATTATTATAGTTTTAGAAATCTTATTTAATAATATATTCTTAAAAGCAAGAGTATTTCTAAGAAGCTTTATACTATATGAGGCAATATTATGGCACAAAACCTAAATATAATTAATAATCGGACCGATGTAAGAATAATAAAATAATTACCCTTTAATTATAACCTTAACTAATTAATATTAAATAAAGAGTTATAAAGTAAAATATGTTATATAAAAGTTATTAACCCGATTTTTGATATAATTTAGAAGTAAAATTAATATGCATAAATTATTTTTTCGTTATAATGGAGAGTTTGTTAATAAGTTCTTGAGAAGAGTACCGCTTGTTGGGGAAAAGTAAAACAACCCCCCCCTCCTCCCCCGGGGTGTCGATTAGGGGTGTCGATGGCAGGATCTTTTTTCGGCTTAGCGCTTGCCATTTTCCGAGTTTATTACTAAGGAACCGATTTAGCCCACCAGGCCTTAGAATCGCATATGCCCTCCTCCAGCCCCCAAACTCCCTCCGCCCCAACCACCCCGGATATTAAATAGGAGTTTTAATAAATTTTAGAGTTTTGATAATATTTAAATGATTGCTTATATAAGTTTATATAAGTTTATATATAAGAGATCTAGCTTTGGGGTATAAGATAAGCAAGGCAATTATTATGCACAAGGCAAATAAGTTCTAGGTACTTACGAGTTAATCGCTAAATTTTCAGGCTCTCTTAAGGTCGATACCGCCTGTTGACGCCATTTGTATAGCCAGCGCTGTGGAGGGGGGATGTAAAGGAACCATACCTTTGCCGCTGCGCACGGCATTGATTCGTCCGCCCATTAATCAAGTCTATGTATGAAGGCATCTCTTAGCGGACACGCCTCTTTGCCGCGAAGAACCGTATCAATCTTAGGAATGACGCATATGAGGATGTTGAATGGCACGCCTTTCGTGCGCACGCTCGTCCATCGCCTAGTATATTCGAAGCCCACTCAATCGAGATCCCCGAGACACACTCACGATTACTGGGGAAAGACTAAAACGACCCCCCCCCCCAACTACGATGTGGGCTTGTTAGCCGGGGAAAGACTAAAACGACCCCCCACCCCCGGCGTCGATTGGGGGTGTCGATTGGGGCAGGGGTATTTAATTGGCTATCTGAGCTCTTTAAAAATCTGAAATTAGATTTTTCAATATAAGTCTAAGCTAGTATATTATAACCCCTGTATTATAATCACGTGCTCTCTAATTTATAATAAAAAGATTCCTTAAAATACTATTTCAATTTTAGGGAGTCTATATACTAATTTATTAAGTTTTAGTTTTTGAGCCCTATAAGGCCTTATAAATTATGGACTTATAGGGCCCTTAAATCTGGTTTTAGGGACTTTTTCGCTAAATTTCTAGGCTTACTTAAGCTTATCTATAGGCTATAAAATATAAAACTTTTAACTTCTTTAATTTAAAGAGCTATTACTAATCCAAATTTTATAAAAAGTTTATATTTAAATAGCGCTTAATTAGCGCTATAAGAAAATAAAACAAGTATTAAATTATATTGATTCATTATAAAATTAAATTAAAATGAAGAAAAAGCCAGAGTTTTGGTGTTCCTGTCCGAGCGCCTAGCCTGCTCCCAATCGACACCCCTAATCGACACCGGGGGGGGTCGTTTTAGTCTTTCCCGATTACTGGAGCTCGAGTTTGGATATTACAATAGTCTCACGAAGGCCGGTTGTATTGTCTCAGAGCCTGATCTTGTGCGTTTCGAGGACTACAACGACTTGAGGTATGGACGCAGTCTGTTTCAGATGTCAAGTCGATCGTTCTCAGGCAGGCCACGGAAGCGGCCGAGTCGGTCCATTTCGAGCGCTTCGGAGGTCGGATCGGCTCGAGAGGTCACATGCGAGCCCATCGCAGCGTCTGAGGCTGAGCTTGTTGATGCTGTTCTTGGTTGATGTTTCTTCGATGTTGGACTTCGGATACTTCGAGCAGTTCCGTGAGGTTGACTCGACACGTTCTCGGTAGCTTAAAAAAGGGGCGAGATGCCAAGACTCCGGAATAGGGGCTTGCAATAACTTAAAGTTGATTATTAGCACCTGCAGTATTTGGTTATATGAACTCTTCAGTGTTAACTGGATGTTTAGAATCATGACTTCCCTCATGCTTCAAGGCCTCTACCAGTGCTAAACCTTTAGGAGGTAATACAACAATCTGTCGTGAATAGCACGATGAAAGAATGAAAGAAACGCCGAAAATACCCTCATTCAACTGTCTGAGCTTCTCTGACTGCCCGCCGACGTTTCGCAGTAGCCAACCACCACAAATATGGAACGTCCTCAACATTTCCACTAGTATCGATCTCTCCCTCTGCATCCTGTTTTTGGCTGGTAATCTTGACGTTCCCAAGAAAAAACGACAACACACCAGCAAGACCGAGAAAAGGCAGGATGGAAATGTAAGCCCAGTAGACAGCATCACTGAACCATCTACGCACAATCGCCTGGTCAGCAGGTGACAAAGCGTCAATATTCCCGACACTCGAGGTTGTATTCGACGTGACATGAGATACGCTTGTGATGCGATTCGACAATTTGTTGCTGAAGACGGAGCTCATGATAGCAATGCCAAGGGTACCCCCAAAGCCAAAGGCAAAGCTCATCACAGCCAGACCCCGAGCCTTCAATCGGGAACGCAAGCCGACAGCATGCAGCATTCCAGGCATGAGCCGAAGCCCCGTACCAACTCCTGCAAATCCAACCATCCCACTGACCACATTCGGTCGTCCGGTGTTCAGTGCCCAGGTCAGCATTCCAATTCCCAGGGGCTCTAAAGCCGATCCGAAGAGCAGGGGAAAGAATGTTTCTCTCGGCCACACGTTGCATAGGAATATCGCCCCGTATGCACCAACACCAAGCCCAGGCATATAATATGTTAATTGGGTACCAGCTTTACCTGAGTTGTATTGCTGCACGACAGTGAACCATATACCCACGAAGTAGAAGACGGAAAAGAGGGCCATGCCGGTTGAGAAATTGAGGTAGGCAAGCAGGCTCATATCTCGTACTCTGAATAAGCTCAGAGGGATCATTGGATCCTGGGATGGGAAAATCCGGGACAGTATGCGACCGGGTGCCATAAAGTATTCGTAAATGAAAAACAAGAGGAAGAGGACACAACCGATGATTAGAGGAGCTAGGACCGACGTTGATTTCCACGGATATGTAACCCCACCCCAGGTAAGGCCTAGAATCATGAGCCCGGCGCCGAAGAAGAACAGAAGCATCCCCCCGTAATCAATGATTGAGAGTTTCGTGAGGAGCGTCGGCGTCTCGATAACGGTGATCTTGCCGCCTCCGTCTTCCCGTTTGTGAGGTTGGGCTTTGATGAGCTCTTTTCGAAGGAGGAAGAAAACTGCAACGTGGCTGATCGCAGCAATAGGGACGTTGATAATGAAGCACCAGCGCCAGGAAGCCTGGAATGTTAGCTCGTTGAATTTGAATGAGGGCACAAGAATATACCTTGGTTAGATACCCCCCAATCACAGGCCCAACTCCAACGCTCAGACCATTCAAGAGTGCGAAGATTGTGTTGTTCACGGAGTTCTCTCGAAGTGAGACCTTGTCCGACAGAATAAGCTTCGTGACGATTCCGAGTCCTGCGAAGCCGAGTCCTTGAAACGCACGGCCTAGCAGCAGCATCGGCCATACCTGCGCGGCGGCTCCGAGAACGCTGCCGACGAGAATAAATAAGATGGAGGCTTGAATCACAGAGTGGCGGCCAAACACGTCGGAGACTTGTCCGTACATCAGAATTGTGGAAGTTGATGTGAGTGTGAAGGCTGTAACGATCCAATTGAACTGAGTAAGCTAGTCTATTAATGAAGTCAGCAAGCTCTTGGTGTCTGGATGGTGCATATACTGAAGTGAGAAGCGATAGTCGGTAATGCAGTAGCAGTGATTGTAGCATCCATTGACGCCATGCAGTTCGGAATTAAGAGCGCAAGGATAAGTTTCCATCTGTAAATTTTTGCCCTTTTTTTATCCACGATACATTGAGCGCAATGTTTTGAGCCGCGCTTCTCGTCTGGAATTGTTTGATGGCCCGTGTTGGATTCTTTCTCGTTCGGAACAGCATCGCCGCTGGCTTCGTTTGTTTGAGCAAGCTGATGCTCACAGTGAGGAACTTGCTTGGACTTCTTCTTCTCGTCATGAGGACCGGGTTGTTGAGGGTTATTGCGATTCTGGAATTTTCTATAGAGATGCCGTCCCAAGATAAAAGACATGATTTTCGCGGTGGGCCCTGGGTCTCTGAAACATTCTCCGTGAAGTCATTTCGGGAGGCGCGGGCGTCCTTTATGTAGATTCCCAAATGACGGCAAATGACTAGCTTGGATTCGTATTTGATAGGTCGTGGGGCATAGGCATAGCAATTGTGGTAAGCACGGCGGAATTTGAGGTCGGATTAATATGTTGAGACTCCAGCCTGACGTGTCGTGTTGCTCTCAGCCTTGCAGCCACATCATTCACTAAACCCAATTGAGGAACATTCTGCGAGGTCTTAGGAGGATCGGATTCGGAAGACCACAATCCTCAAAAGCATACGCAATGGATGGAAATGATATCTGGCAGGGGTTTTATCCTTGAAACACTTACAAGATGCTGGGGCTACGAGGTTTTATATTGAGTCACGTGTGCTCGACCACGTGATGTACGGGCGTTCTAGGTGTTCTTCTCCTCTGATTACTACCGGGACGGCATTGCAGATATGCTGAGCAGGCTTTGCAGTTGCTCTAGTATCGCCGTTGCAAAGTCGAAGTCCCCTAGCTTGATCAGGATGTTGCAAGAGCGGTCGAAAAGGGGGGAAGACGGTGCTAGTCCGCAAGCGAGCCTCGTTTAAGAATAGCCTAGCATACCTTTATCAGCAAGGAAACCATCAAAGAAATAATTCCAAAAGACGGGCACAATGAATCTTCAACATTTAAATAGGCATCTCCCTGGATTTTCGAAACATGGAGATTGAAGTTTCAGTAGGTTTCAGCTGCATCGCTCCGTCTCTTCTACTACTTCCCGTCAACTATCAAAATGTTTGCTTTCATCCCTAGTTTACCTCCTACCCTCGCTTGCGCCCCGCCACCAACAGCAAATACAACCTGCACTCTACAAAACCTCGAAGATGCAGCAAGTGCATACCTCAGTTCAGTTCAGACCGGAGCAACATCAACTGTACCTCGCCAATGCCTTCCATAGAGAAAACAACAAAGCAGCGGACATTACCAAAGGCGTCCTCAGAGCCGCAATGAAGATTGACCACAACAAAACACTCTTCGACACCACACTCTATGTCACTTATTCCGACTTCCGATCACCAATCCGAAGACGCCGTATGTGATTAGGACACAAGTTCATCTAGACTCGAGTAGTGGTGTGGTTTTGGTGGACACGATTGCCACAGCTACCCGGGGATTGGCAGTTTAGTGAGATTCAACCTTCGTTCCTTCTCATGGACAGGACAAAGAACTCAATATTTTAAGGTGCCACAAAGTCATCGGGTCTAATCCTAAACGAGAACTGGGGCCCCATCCCTGAATCCAAACGAGACACCCGTGCCGCAATTCAAGCAACAGCAGATGCCTACCTCGATCTGTGGTCCCAAAAAGCCACCAAGCCCGTCGGTGCCTGGTCCATGCCGTGCGAGCGGATGGAAGGCCCTTCTTACACGGGCAAAGGCATCAATACTGATTCGTGTAATTCTGGGATTCCTAGTGGGAATCAACCTGAGAATACAGATCGACGGTATGTAATAGAATATTGGGAGCGCGAGTGTGCTGTGTGTGTTTCAGACGATGGAGAATGCCCTGGACTTACATGAGATAAGGCTGGAGGGGGTAAAATTAAGTGTGTCCAAATTATGACGGTGATGAGGTCGAGTGAGAGGATTGGGGATGGGGTTTGAAGAGAGAGTTGAGGAAATGGAAAGGTCAAGGCGATTTGAAGACATAGCAGTTTGATTGGGGGTTTGAATCTAGTTCTCAGACCATCTAAACTTTCAAAAACCCTCAATGAAAAGTTTTTTGAAGCAGAGAGATGCAAAACCACCCATTTCGAGAGCCATTCGGGTCGGCATCGACGTCGATAACTTGAACTTGGGCACTCCCTAACTGTCCCTGCAAAGAGCAGAACAGTTAGAAACTCACAACTGCGCGAAATCCCCTAACCTCCTACCCCCAACCACCCTCCCCCTCTATCAACGATAACTGTTCTCATTCGCAAGAGGACTGAAATATCTCCAACTAAAGCCTCCTGCAGCATCTGCAGAGCAAGGTGCAGTATCAGAGTCATTCCAATCCTTGAAGATAATCTCAAGTCTAGCTGTATTTCCAGCGTCCCTCATGGCAAGTTCAAAATGTGTGCGAAACCTGCCATCCAGCTCCTTTCGCCAAAGCTCTTGACCGATGCCCTGGTTCACACCAACTTGAGCGCACCAGTTCCTAACCAGAATATTGAGTTGCCTGAGGTTAGGCACCTGCGACAAGAGATCGACAATACCCCTTGGCGGGCTCTGGACACTGCTGAGACCACTGGGTTGGTAACCAGTATGGTCGATGGTCAAGGTTTGGATCTTGCCCATGTCATCGGGGTGGAGGTAGCATAGCGGCGGCGGGGAAAAGAATGGCGCAGGTACGACGAATTGATCGACTTCAAAGTTGATGCACACTATTCTCTTCTGGTGCTCCTTTGGAAGGTAGAAGCAACCATATTTGTGCCCACCATAATGCGGGAACTTCGCAATACATGTCTTGTAGTATCTCAATCCCTCCCGTCGCACTTCCCGAGAGGTGAGAAGGATCGAGGGTTGAACCTCATACTCTGGGCGGAAGAGCTTGACAACTCTGGGTGTGGAGGCTGCGACTTTCCATATTTTGTTCTGGATCTCCAGAGGCAACTTGGGGAAGAGGACAAATTCCTTGAGTGGTTCCGCTGGAGGCAGAAGTCGTGGAAGCTGGATAAGAAGGGACTTGAGACGGGAAGACATCCTCCCAGTGGAGGGCGAGAATTCGGAGGCAGGCAGCGTGGTCTGTTTCGGGGATTGTCCCACACTAGCTTTGGTCATTGAAGATACCGCTTCGAAGGTTGCTGCCAGGTGGCTGCAATGGTGGTGAAGAAGTCGCCAAGCCAACATGCTGCGTAGCTGTCTATGGGGTCGAGATACCCAGCTCAGATGGTATGTCGATGGAGAGTATTGTAGATCAAGAGGGAGGACTGACGTAGGCCGTATCCATAAAGGAAGAAATCTCTGTGGAACTGATGAGAGTAAAGTCAAAGCATGTTAACTTGGTACTCCTATGATCTTTGGGTCTTAAAGATTTGTGCCCGTCTAGATGTCAAATCCAAAAAGTGAAAGAGAGCAAGAGCGATGTCGGCCCTCGCACTGCAAGGTGAACGATCTGTGCACGATTCTACGATTTTCTCCTCCTTTCGGGATTAGGGGGCTATCTATAGCGGCGAGGCATCACTCAAAGTGAACATAGATCAGTTATAGCAGCGAGGCTTTTTGTTTGTGTTCCGCACCGATTTTTTTCAGGACGCAGGAAGTGCAGTATTTACTTGCAAATTGTATTCAACGTTGGAAAATTCAGCAGCATGAAGTGATAAGCAGTAATACTCCTTGAATCATGGCTTCCAAGTCGCAGTCACGTTTCCTTCCTGCACGGAAGCGAACAAATCAAGCAACTTCATCGTTCAGTTTTGCTATCCCTTCATTCGCCAATTCCACCAAGCAAGACTCAGATTCATCAATCAATCTCGACCTTGAATCAGACAACATGTCTCGAGTCGAGGAGCGGTTGAAGCAACTTCCTCCAGGCGAGGTCCAGCTGTAAGTAGTGAGCCCGAAACCCCTTTACTAGCGATGATAGTATAAGCACTTCTTCTCTGCACACGACTCGGAAGGCCGTTAGATTCTCTTCATCGAGCAAATGCCGACTGTCTTATTGTGCAGTCAGACGAGCCCTGAGAAGTTCACTGTCTTCCATAAGCTACCAATCGAACTACGACTCCTTATTTGGAAGCTTGCCGCACACCAACCTCATGATATTAGACTCCACTTACCTATTAGGAGATACCCGATGATGCCCTACGAACCTTCAGGACGAAATAAAGTTCCATCAATTCTCCACACCTCCAGAGAGAGTCGAAATGAGAGTCTGAAACATTATACAAAATGCAACGAGAGATCAGAAGAATTTCCTTCCATGGCCACGCGGGAGAAGACAGTTTACGTCAACTTCAACAGCGACCGGTTCGTACATACCTGCATTTGTACTATTCCACGCAACAATTACTCGGGGGAGATCCACGATTGGCCGGTATTCATCACAGGTTACAATTTCGATATTGAAGTTCTAAGGAAGATCAAGCACTTCACGGTTGACTATGCCTCTTGTGCGTGCGATGGCAATTTGGAGAGACTCAAGGCATTTACCGAACTCGATAGGATGTCAGAACAACTTGAGGAAGTCACGCTGAGAGTTGGTCTCAACAAGCCATTGGATTTTTGTAAGGGGGTACCATTACGGGAGCTGACTGATGAGGATATCCGGAGAGGACTGATGGAATTCTGGCTTGGCTTGGCGAAGGAACAACCGAAGTCATACAAATGGCGTCTGCCGTTTCAGGTGGAATGTAGTGTGGAGGAAAACGAGGTGCTTCGCGTGAGAAGTGAAGATTTGAAGGAATACCTCAGTTCACAGCTGCTGCTGCCAGTAGATGCTTTTTTCAAGAAATGAGAAAGCAAGCAGGAACACTGAGCAGCAACGCGGGTCATTGGGCATTTTAGATTAGGCTGGTGGGAATGACAAGTAGTGGCTCTAACAAGCGGCTAGATGCGATTTGGTACAGAGAATACAGTGGTCATCAAGATGGTCAGGAGTTTCCGAGGACTTGGTCTTGAACTTTACGAGCTTGATTCATACACTTCCTCTTCCCTGGAAGAAGCAGAGCCTGACGTTATCAGAAGTTGTCATTTGTAGACTGTGCCCCCTCTCGACCTGCTGAATACCGATAATTCCCAAAACTTATGTGCATTTTCTTGATCAGTTTCCCATGACCCATGTGTTATGAAATTCACCGCTGCAAGCGATGGAAATCGTGACTTTCCCAATCTCGCTTGAAAGAAAATTCCACCCTTTGAACAATCTTCGAAGATCGCCGATTCCACAACGATAATCACTGGTCCACTGATTAACAACTGTACAGAATGTCATCCGGCCCTTGCACATATTGTCCGCCTTCCAAACCCTCCGTAAAGTCATGGCAAACACGTACTCGAGCTCCCGAAACCTTTACCCTATTCCCGAAACTTGCCCCCGAAATACGAATTAGGATTTGGCGACTTGCCGCCTCCGAACCACGAGAGATCAAGCTCTATGTCCTGTCTCCAGAATGGATGGATACCAAAATGAAAGAGCAGACAAGAGCTCCAGCTATTATGCACATATGTCGCGAATCACGGTGCGTGCTGCGCAAAAGCCATGTTCCCCTTTCCGTCTCTCTAATGATTACTGTCATTAACTTCTCCTATTCCCATACAATACTGCTTTTAGAATGATGCTGATTCTTGGTTTGTCTAGAGAGGAGGGAAAACGCTTCTACACTGTTTGCGTCGAAAAAGCATCACTTTTGCACCGTCTCGGGTGGTCACCAACAAATCCTGAGACAATTTCTGGGGCAAAGAGCATCGTTTGGGTCAATTTTGGCATCGATCGCTTTGTCTATGAGTCTGGTTACAACACTTCTTTCAGACGATACTACGAAGTAGGCTTCAATTTTGAGAAGTTCGTGTTGCAGCAGATCCGACACTTGGGGCTCGCAAATACAAAGGTGTCAAACTTGGTGTGGGGCATCAATGAGCTGTACTATGGGCGCGTGTTGTCTATTAAAGGGTTGAAGAGCTTCAAGATTATTCAAAGGATGTCAGGGATTGAGCATAACAAGGGTTGTCCACTACGCGAGCTGATAATGGACAAGATTCGCAATGAGGTTGCAGTCAACAAGAAAAGATGGGGCTGGAAGGTGCCAGCAAAGATTGAGTGGAGGTCAAGGGAGGCGAAGCATTTGCCACGACGATCGGAGAATGCCTCTGTTGTGACAGCCGATGAGGAAATGATCTGGCAGTTCGAGGAGACCATTATTCTGTGAGAGGGAGGCAAAATAAACAGGTTGCAGCCAAGGGTGTTCAGCTGGGCCTTGATATTCGATGAAAAGCCAAGAGATTCTGCCTTGCTCACATAATAGAATGACGAGAGTGTCTGTTTAATAGTTATATCTGTATGAGAAAAAACCTCAACTTCTTCCTTCTGCTCCACTCCTGTCCGCCACGACTGCTCTTACTGTGATATCTGCAAGTCAATCAATACTACCGCAATCTACATCCATTCATCATGTAAACTTAACCCCATCTATCCTCGTCTCCCACACCCCATCGGGATCTAAATTTCTCTGAATGCCTTTCAACGTCTCATAAGCCTCCTTCCCATAACTCTCCAACTGCATCTGATCCTTCGTCTCATCATTCATGATTATCGGATTATGCCTTAATTTCCTCCAAATCTGTATCTTCAAAATCCGTATTCTTGACAATAGTATATTTCTTCTGAACGTATGATTCAATTTCGGAAGTTATATTGACGGCGAAGGTTTGGGCGTCTGAGTTGTCGAGGAACATCTCCCAGATAGTGTCGTCTTCAATGAACATCCTGTCGCCGTAGGAGGGTAGTTGGCGGAGCGCGTCGTTTCCAGAGGGAACGGGGGCAGAGATGGCTGGGATGAGGTACAGAAAGGGCTGGAAGGCCATGGCGAAGATGAACCCTAGGTGCATTAGCGCTTTTCTCAGTAGGACTTCCAGGTGCCGGTAGTGGTAATTGTAGAGATCGGTGTCATTGGTGGAAGGAAGATTGGGCAGCGTGATTCCCTGGTGTTGTTAGCTGATTCGAGGAATTGGCAAAACATTGGGGAACAAACGCGAATGAGAATCCGCACGCCATAGCATTTTCCGATATCGATGGCATTGAGCTGGTTCAACTATTAGCTGAGCTATTTCATCTTGAAAGTTAAAACTCACGAGATCAGTATATGACTGGTTTGTCAAGTTGGAGGTAATCGTTGGGATGGTGTCAAACTTGTCGAAAATTCCGTCTTGGGGACTTAACCCATCGTGAAAGCAAGGCACCCCCTCCTACCCAGGTGCCATGTTCCCTCACCCAAGGAACCAAAAACGTAACCATACCAGATTTGGGTATTTTTTGCCAAAATTAGCCAAGACTTGGATTTCGCCCCCAACGCAGCGTTTTTTCGCCTTGTTGTCTTGCGGCAGCAGGATTACTTCTTTTGCTCGTACCTCGCTACAAGAAACATAAGGTTTGATAACAACTGAACGGATCATTCGGAAATTATCATCGAGGTAAAGATACACCACAACGCGGAGGAGCCTAGGAGGCGGACATCTCGCGTTTAAACAACAGCAATCACCCTTGCCTAAAGTCAAGCAAATATCATTAATATAAATATAAATTGTCTATAACTTTCATATACCTAACCCTATTGCTACCAAGATTCATGAACCTGCTTCGCATCTCGGCCATCCTTGTGGCTGATTCCATCCTCGACCATCTTGAATTCGTTGGAGACCATGATACCCTTCGACGGTGGGCGAGTAGGCGCTGCTAGCCCGGTATAACCCTCCAGGTTCTGCATCTTCACGCTGTTGACAATATGTTCCGCACTCTCGCTGAATGATAAGCTATCGGTGACAGGCTGCTTCGAACTAGTGGGTTTACGACGTTGACCAACCCCAGAGGATCCGCCGCCCCCGCCGATGGTTCGAAAGCCAGATGGATGCTTGGAGGCTGCCCCAGTAGAAGAGAGCGCACTGCCGAATAGTGGTTTCAACCATGACTTGAGTAGGGGGAATATCATTGGGAGGTTGGTAGTGACCACTGAGACGAATGCTTCCCGGGTACCCCACTCACCAGCGAGCTGTGCACCGTGGACAGGATCCTATTGATTAAGTAAAGTCAGATAAATGTAGCCTTGTCTAGGGGACATAAAGACGGAGGGTATCCTATAGCACCACCAAGACTTACCGTTGTAACAAAGATAGTCTTGAGAAGCGAGCAGATAAGGACAAATACGCCCGCACCAAGCACGAAAGTGGCGGCAAGCTTCTTCACGAGTTTCAGGCTCGTTCCCCAAAGCATGGGAAGCGGCACCATGATGAGGTAGAGATCGGTGACAACACTCGAGGCGAATGTGACCCATACGATCGGGCTTGCCACAGCGCCCTGGCAGGAGTCTAGAAGCAAGCCTGTCAGCAGCGGCTGGAGCAATGATAAGACAAGTCGGAAGACCTACTGCCTGGATCCGGGTTGATCTGCCAGTAGTTGGAGAACGGCTGGCATGACCCATAGATCGTTATGACGGATGCAACAAATGTCAAACCGACGAGCCCAAATCCGATCCAGATACGAATGCGGAAATAGTTGCTAAGTCCTTCCTATCAAGTACAAAAATCAGTACCCCGTCAGAGTAGGGATCAACACCGTCCGAACATACCATGAGTCTGATGTAGAAGACAAGCACGGCAATCTTGAGCGTGCAGATCAAGCACGCATAGGTGGTCCAGCCCACCACCTGGATCTTGGAGCCGAATACTCTAAATAAAGCGGTTCGTCATCATGCCCTGCGCGCTCCCTTTTCGGTCAGGGACGTACCTGAGGCGGTATTCCGTAGAATCGGGGGATAATGCAGCCCGCTCTGCGTCCGTCATGGCATTGTTTGCGAGACCTTGCCCGTGATTGACCGCGAAATATGCTAGAGTCGACTGCGCAGTGTAGAGCAACTATGGAGTTGGGCCTGCGTTAGTAATAGAAGCTGATGTGAAAGTCGCATGGATCTCGCGATACGTACAATGGCAAGCCACACGATAAAGTCGTCTGCTCGAAGGTCTCTGATGCCCACAGCCTTCACTCGAGCATACGTCCTGACAATCGTTATGAGGACGCCAAACGCATAGAACGTCCACAACTCAGTATTGAATGTGCGAACGGCTGCTGCTATTGCTGCTGCCACAGCAGCCTGGGCAGCGGGATCAGACATCGCGATCACTGGCAGGCCAAACAGTTTGCTGTGTTGGAAATCGTGAGGCTTTTGATTCAAGGCAGCTATCACCGAACCCCGATCCAAGCCGAAGCACAAGAAATGTAGGAGAGATCTCAGATTTGTATCAGTCCCAAGACAAATGCAACGGCTGGAATACCACGCAGTCCGTCCCACTTGGAGTTGGAGGCATCATTTGCAACGGAGGAAGGTATAACAACAGTATCAATGCCGAAGGGATGCAAAACCTGTAAGGCGGCACAAGCCTTCACACAAGCGTATGAAACTCTTAGAGCTTGGTTTTCTCACGGGGGTTCATGGGAGACTAACTGCTGATTGCGCCAATGCCAGAGTAGCAAGAGGGGCGGAGGGGGAAGCGAGCATCGACTATCGCCGCAGGGGTTACACGTTTAAAGATCCCAGGAGGTAAGAGGGGCGGCGGGGGTGAGTGGGGGCAGAGTCCTCGTTCTCTAGGTCAGCGACGTCCATACTGTAAAGGGCAACGATCTACAGATTCGCTGTACGAAGTAGATGCCGGCATTGGACAATTTACCCTGGGCAGCATTATTATTGACCCCTATTGCGAGTGAAAAACTGCGTAGTTGTTGTTGAACGTAAACGGTTATAGCTACTTGGCTGTTTGCTTCATTCCCATTTACCGAGCCAGCATCCGCGCATGCTCCACTACTGTCAGGAGGGGTTGTGTTCTTTCGGGAGTCAATTGTCGGTTTTCTGAAAGACGGTCGACTGGCCTGTCAGGCGTGAGATTGGACTCCTAAAGGAGACTAGCTCCCAACCACATCCTTTAGCCTTCGGAACTCTCAGGAAGGTAGCCCAGCTCGCCCGCTTGGCGTCTTCACCTGGTCTGTTACAAGGGGTCTTTTAGTTGTTTTCTTAAGGTAAGCAGCGTACCTGGCCGTTGATGACCGAAAATCGCGCGGTCAGGTGGGGACGCCAAGCGGGCCAGCGCAACTACGGAGTACATATTTCCGTTCGATAATTTCCAGCCTCGAAAAGGCCGGGCGCACCGCGCCGCACTACGGCTGCAGCCACCGGCCTGCTTCCCCGTAGGGCCTGAGCAGCGAAAGTAAATTCATCAAGGAGACCCTCGCTAAGAAAACAACTAAAAACCCCCACTGTAAGGCCAGGTGGATACGCTCAGCAGGCCAGCAGGGCTACCTTCCTGTGACCTTCGGGGATATGGTGCAGCCACTGCCCAAATATCCGGACTCCAGCGGAAACGATTCCATATCCACGCCGCCGGATCCGCCGTACCTGCCCGATCAAGGTGTTTTCTCCTAAAGCACAACAACCTCCCTTGTTGTAAATTACACATGGACCATCCTTGCTCTAATGGCTGTGGACCTGGAACCAAGGTAAACTGACACACCCCGCCCGCCTTCTTGTTAGTCGAGCTGGCTTCCTACGAAGTACGGAGCTCATCACGACATGCTCTAGCTCAAGAATAGGAGACTGAGCTCCCTCGGATCAACCCCGTTGCCACGGTCCTGCCCAACATTGACTGATCCATCGTCCATCCCAGCCGAATAGGGCCTGCAATACTGTAATTGCCTTCATTGTACTCCATAGTACGAGCGCCACGCGACCCGTAGTAATTACATTTATTACAGGACCACCAAGTACGGCGTCCAGGTCTTGCAGGAAGACATATAATAGCTCATCCTGTTCCTCGTCCCAGTCCCAGTCACAGCACCTGACGCACGCCGCCTTATCCAGGCATACCTTCGTTTCTGCTGCTTTCCTGAGCCGCACTGATGCATCACTATAAACTGAAGCTTGCCGCCTTTTTGGCGTGGGCGGCAACAGTTACCTGTCGAGGTGTCCCTGCCCCCAGTCACGAGGCCCGTGAGGATTGCCCAGCAGGTAGTGTGAACTACACACAGCTGGCGAAGAAGCTCTCGAGGACTGCTCAGATCTACCTGTCAGGCTCCGACGCGTTCGATGCCGCTGTGGCTCGCTGGTCCAACCTGAGCACCCCCGTAGCAAACGTCGTGGTTGTTCCCAGCACCGAACATGACGTTGTCGAGACGGTGCGGCTCTCCAATATCCTCGCCTCTAGTAACAGCTTTGCTTATCTTCTCACGACTTAGGTCAACTTCGCAAACTGGCACTCGCTGCCTTTTCTCACCACCAATGGCGTGCATGGATCAATCACCACGCTGGGGAAAATGATCCATGGCATCGAAATCCATATGAGCCAGCTGAACAGCATCGCGATCGCCAAAAATGGGAAAACGGCCACCATTGGCGGTGGAGTCATGTCCAAGAACCTCACCGACGCGCTCTGGGCGGCAGGAAAACAGACAGGTGAGCATATGATGAATTCCTTGCACCACGGTTGTTGTAAGGAACCTCGATGACTAATATCGAGAGATAGTAACTGGAACATGTGAATGTGTTAGCTATCTGGGTCCTGGCCTCGGAGGTGGTCACGGATGGCTTCAAGGTCGCTACGGACTCGTCTCGGACCAATTCGTCTCAATGAATGTCGTCCTGGCCAACGGCAACTTGATCACAGTCGATAAGAACTCCGAACTCTTCTGGGCAATGAAGGGCGCCGGTCACAACTTTGGCATCGTCACTTCCATGACTTCAAAAATCTATGACATTCAGCACCCCAACTATGCCATGGAGACGCTCATCTTCAGTGGCGATCAGGTCGAGGCTGTCTACAAAGTCGCCAATGAGCAGTGGCTTACAAACGGCAAAACCATGCCCGTGGATCTCATCAACTGGTCGTATTGGTATTTCGATCCTACCACTGATCCGGATAAGGTGAGTCCAGAGACCATGAGCGCGCAGATTGTTCACCATCTTCTAACCGTGCTCACAGCCCGTTATCGCAATGTATCTCATCCAAGAAGGAGTAAATGCAGTCGATGCAGCTTACACGAAGCCGTTCCTTAAACTTGGACCCATCACCACCCAAGCTTTGTCGGGAACTTATCGCGACTTAGCTGCATGGACCGGCATTTCTCTTGATGCTACGCCCTGCCAGAAGACCGGAAACGCCAACCCACGCTTCCCCATCTATCTCAAGTCTTACAACACCACAGCTCAGGGACTGGTGTACGATCTTTTCAGGCAAGCCACTACAAATGCATCCAGTCCCTTCAGTAATTCGCTCTTCATGTTCGAGGGCTACTCCCAGCAAGGCGTGAAAGCGATCCGCGAAGATGCGTCGGCCTTTGCCTATCGGGAAGACAATCTTCTCGTCGCCCCACTCCTTACGTACACGCCCAACGGGCCGGGACTCGACGAGGTTGCCTCCAAGCTTGGAAATCAGATTCGCCAGATTCTCTACGAGGGCAGTGGAGAGACCAGTCTAAACACGTATGTCAACTACGCCTACGGTGATGAAACGCCGCTGGCGTGGTACGGGAGCGATGCATGGCGCCAGAACCGCTTGCATGCTTTGAAGAGGAATTTCGATCCAATGGGCAAGTTTAGCTTTTACGCACCAATTGCATAGTAAGTAGCTACTGGTAAATAGGCTTGGCAAAAATACTTTTGGTATTGATAAGGTATTGATACTGGATAGTATTACTTAGGTATCGTAAGGATCAATACGTATCAATACCGAATCGATACCGAATCGATACTTAGCCTTAAATTATCTCTTCCATTTATTATTTAATTTGTATAATAATTTCTTTATTTTCTAGTCTTTATATTAAAGGAATTACTTAATATTATTAATAAAAGTTAATATTATCTTAATTTTAAAATGGCCCTTGTATTCGGAGAATTCAGTATTATATTCGTATCTCTCATCGGAATGCTTATTATAAAAAGCTATTTTTTGCTTAAAATAGCCGCATTGAGACGAGTTTTAGTCTAAACTATAAAATAAGTAGCTAAATAGAAAGCCTAAATTAAGTAGAATATTTGTGCTACCAAAAGTTTTCTTATAAGGGAAGTGGTTCTAAAGTTAATTGCAATTAAAGGGGGGAATTGGGTTCCGGGAATCGATCCTTTATCGATAGTATCAATACCTTACGATTCTGGCATCGATACCTATTAATACCAGAAATTAGGTATTTCTGCCAAGCCTGCTGGTAAATTAAAATATCAACTATTAGACAAATTCTTATCTTATGAGTTCTCTCTTATCACCCATCTAAAACTTGGCCCGTGCAATTTGACTTGTTACTTCTGGAGACTTTCAAGAAGCAAAGCCCTCCATGATGCTGTTGTGTCATAACGTGGGAGTTCATGTTCGGAGTCGCACTTAGCTCTATTTTGGGTCCTTTACTTAGACAATTTGACAATTGTTGATTGTGGGCGTCTAAATTATTTCAGAAAATACAACAAACTCAGAAACTCTGCGAGCAAGATTTCGTCTCTTGAAAAGGGACGCGTCCAAGACACCTATAGCAGTCGCTCTCAAATTCCCCTCAGCCCCTTATCACAATGTACTCGCATAAGGGAACAGGTGGCAGGTCTGATCCGCAACTGTGGGATGAGCTAGCTTTATCATGCATTATTTTGTAGGAGGCAGTTCCTTACCGTAGGGGCAACTTTGCCGCCCCCTCTGCTAGCAGGAAATTCTAAGAGTTTGAAATTCTATATCTGCATAATCCGTGTCCGTCCCGTGTTGATGGTGTCTGGAACGTATAGCAGAATCTCGAACCTTGAGTTATCAATCGCACCTGAGGGTAAGGATGGGCAAAATACACTCACAAATTGGCGGGGAGGAAAATTTCGTTTGATTTAAAATTAGGGATTTTAAGCTCTAAATGAAGCAATAACAGAAGGTGGGGAGGCACAGTGGGGTCTATTTGAGCCACATGCAAATATACTCGCTTAATTCAGGGGCTCGAGTTTTCCCCCATTATCCTAAGCGAGTTCAGCCTCCCATGTCTACCTGACCGCCGTAAGTGCCAGGTTGAAAATATGTAATAACACAAGTCAACAATAGGTTCTACCCTATACCGCCAGATCTTATTAGACAGCAGGTAATACCCCTTTTTGATCACTCTCAGGACAGGAGATATAGCAGTATCGTTTGATTTGCTTAATTAAAGTGGCGAAGGGAAATATGGCTTGCAATGGTATGTAAAGGCCTTAATTGAACTCTGTATTCCAATACATCCGGGTTCGAGGCTCTTTATGTATCCCCATATATATAAGCGCTCCAATAAACACATATAGCTCCTCCATAAGATGTCTGACTATTCGCGCAATCAGGTAATCAAACACTAACAACTATATAGTCGGCTATTCCGCTGTTAGCTGTTAGCAGATATTCTCCCAGGGCCTTCATGATATTTCTCCGGCCCGTAAAAATAAGACCTCTCGCTGGCACGCCCAATGCGGCCGGTCCTGCTGAACTGAGCCCGGCCGTGACGGCGTCAGGCTGGGACTTCCCAGCTTGTGCGATTCAGAAAATGGCCTCACGCCTCTTCATAGTTTATCTCGGCTCAGCATCCTCAGCCCTAATCTCCCGTTGTGGGTGACTCGTTTCTAGTGAATCATCGCATTCCAGACCACGAACTCCTCGACCAACAAGCCTATGCCCGTCCGTCTGTTCTTTTCAGGCTTAAAGTTGCTGAAGGGATTTTGAACTTTCTTATTTCTTAATTGTTTATTTTCTGATAAACCTACAAAGGATATAAATATGTTTTTTATAGAACATAAGCTTTTGGCAGACAGGTCAATTTCGGTATTGACCAATTTGTCTTTAGACTCGGTCTCATCAGTCCATAGGGATGGCCAGTTCTGTCCATGAAGTCAGAATTTACCCTTGATTTTCATGTTATGAAAGAAATTTAGCATCTTATAGTCGTGGGCGATGGCCGTCACTTTCCTCCACACTCCCCCGAAGAATTGCAGGATCCGTTATATAACGGGAGCTTGCAGAACATTAGATTGAGAATAACGACTATATCGATTGCCAGGAGAATATCCCCACGAGTCTCGATCTTGTGCATACCGCGAAGGAAGTCGAGATGGTTGCTCTTGGCCACCAGACTCAATTCCACTGGAAGGTGCACTTTCAGGTTGAGGGAGTGTTTCCATATTTAAATATGCTATCCAGCAGACAGAATATAATGCCCGGGCATTCGGACGATATGGGGACCTCAAAAAATTCCAGACGAAGGGGTGCGCTTTTGCCAGGACATGACCACCAGGTGGTTGGCACAATTGTTGTAATAAACGAATAACGAAAACCTTACTGGTAACCACGGATGCTCGCTCCAAATGTTGTTCTACCCAAGTGTGGTGCCTAATCTAACAAGCAGTGAAACAAACCTTCTAGCATAAAAATTGTGCACTAATAACTTTGCACATTGCTGGTCCAGCCATAACGTCACATTTAAGCGATGTTCCTGCATTCACTTTCAAGTCAACTCGCACAACCCCTGTCCTTTTCGTCAAAGTAATCACGTCAATTAACGCGACCCGATAGACCCCTCTTCTCAACGAAACAAGAACATCTCACCTCACCTTAAGCAGTACCTTCTAACGACGTTTCAGCTTCTCCTTTGACTTGTGTCTCCAAAGTCTCTAAGCATGTCCGTAATGTCTCGCGTCCACCTCCTCTGTCAAGCCCTTCCGAAGCTCGAGATTCCGCTACCGCCCCCGGACAAGTTTACTCTCTTTCCGAAGCTTCCTCCAGAGTAAGTAATCTATTTCTTTGTTCCATATCCCAAACTCCTTATCGTGATGGCCGGGGAAATGAGACATGCTCCCGGCTCCCTCCCTTCCAAGGAAATATGTTGTTAACTGGTTGCAGGCTCCGCCACCGGATCTGGAGACTCACCTCAATGGTCCCTCGAGAAATCCACCTCAGAAGGCGAAACTACGTATCAATGGACGATGACCAGCCCGAAGCCCCAGCAGTCTTACACACATCGCATGAGTCTCGGATGGTGGGGATGCGATACTACAACCTTTGTAGAGAGCTCAAGTCCATTGCTAGCCGCCGTTGGTTGGATCAAACTGAGGATCATGTCAACCATCGCCGCAGAAATATGGTATGGATCAACTTCAATGTTGACCGATTTATCTACAACCCAGGAATGCTTTCGGTCATGTCCATTGATGGAGATGGGGAAGCTTATGGAGAGAAAAACTTCAATTTTGAGGGCGCCGTCGTGAAGAGAATCTGTAACTTGGTCACCGATATTGATGGCAGAGATAATTTCATCGCAAGTGAGATGCTTAGAAATTTGGGAAGAGTGTTTGGCCGGGGGAGCATAAAAGTACTCGTAGTTCTTCAGAGGCAATGGCTCTACCAAGAAATCAGAGTACCAGTGTTGACGGAATATCGAAAGCACCTTGTGGAAAGAAGGTGTGCAGCGATTCTTGAGAAAACAAAGCTAGCTTCTGGATGGGATGTTGCTTTGCAGATTGAGAAGGAGCTTGGGAACTAGGTACACATTTATTGGCAGATATTTGGAAATGGCGTGAGGAGTGTACAATAGCATGCTGCTACGGGGCTGAAGCGGTTAAATGCTTTCAATTTGCTGAGGGTAGAGCAGGGGGTGGAAGCTCCGACCATCACAAGTTTTACTTGGCAACCATGTAGGATGTTAGGAAGAGGAACAGATATCCTGCATTGAGGGCCTTTCCTTTCTGAAAGCGAATCGATTAATCTAGTTCTCTTATTGGTGATTTTAATTTTCAAACTTGGCAAGCTATAAAGTCGTAAAATTATATTGAAAGCCTCGCTACTTATAAAAGCCTCCACTTCGCCTATACCAAGACTGTCTTCAAAATTTGTAACAAGGTACAACACATCTCCCTTTCCGAACTTGCCCTCGCCCCTCGCGTGATTCGAGAAGCCATACTATCAAACACTCAAGGCGGTTACGAGTCAAACTATCATGTCTCGGGTCGGGATTCGTTCTCTCAAGAGAGACTCGGTTCGAGTGGAGTATTTGATCAATCTTATTTCCTATCTGTACTGCCAATGAGGAATTCATGGAGTGCTATAGACTCGATATCATCATAAACACCCACAAACTAAGGAGGTGAGTGTCTGGAAATGGCATTTTGCCAAATGCTGGGCCGTTGAGGAACGACGAGATGGCATAGATTACCTGTTGATTCATTCAGCGAGACAGATAATCCAAAATATTCCGATGAGCATTAAATTCTGATCTAGCTAATGCGATATCCCAAATTGAAACCCCAAGAATCTCTACGTACTGCGTAGACGCGCAATGACTTTCGTTGCTCCAAAATTGGCGTTACATATTGGCATGTTGTTGATTTCTTGTGAATTGAGAACACCCGTCATGAGCAACTTAAACATCTAGAACATTCCAAGTAGTGTCTGTGTAACTTCTTTCAAAACGGAAAACTATTTGGACGTGGAAAAGGAGGGTGTTCTAGGGGAAGTTCTGGGTTTAAAGTCTAATAGAAAAGCACGCAAAAGTGACTATCTCCTTAAAATTCAATTTAAATAGACTAGGTCCTGGGAGAAAAGGCATTTAAACTTTATGTCTCCGTATACAAAAAATTCACCTCGAACGTTTACCGATCTTCTACCGCTGATGGAAAATACTCCTCACACCCAAAATTCATTTCCTTCTCCGCGTCCTCCCAACGCTTCCCTCGCTCACAGCTACGCTCGACCTGTAACCTATCCATACCGCATACCGCTCTTGAGACCCAGGGCTCGCATGTCTCGCGTTCAGCTCCTTTGCCGGGCGCTTCCAAAGCTTTTGGCCCCTTACCCTCCCCTCGACACCTTCACTCTCTTCTCGAAGCTGCCACCAGAGCTGAGAAACAGGGTATGGAAGTACGCGGCGGGAGATCCAAGAAAGGTTATCGTGATCATTGGAGTCGAGTACCGACAGAACACCGGTCAACTCCCTTCACCCGCCATCCTTCGAACAACACGAGAGTCTCGCAATGAAGCCAAACGTTACTATACCCTCTGCGAAGACATTGCTAGTCCACCAAACTTCTGCATTGCGTCCATGCGCACTAGAGAAACTCCGCCAGCGAAGCCCTACAATAAGAGACCGGTCTGGATCAACTTTGCAGTCGATATCTTCACATGCGGACCAGAAGCATTCTACCACGGTCGCGACGTCAAAACTCAGTTCAACTTCAACAATACCGTTATCAACCAAATTCAACACGTGGAGTTGGTTTGCAGGAGGGGGATTGACGATTTGAAGAAGCATTTGAACAACTTCAAAGTGATACTTGTGCAGAAGAGCCTTGCAAGCTTCACGGCTGTCATGTATCATTTCGATGAATCTGAAAGAGCAGGTCGGTTAGAAAGAGAGATCGGGCTTCTGGAAGGGGAAAAGAAGTTGCTGGAGAAGATTAGGAAGCAACAAAAATGGGCTGGATGGAGCGTGCAACCTCAGATCGGCTGGAAAGTTATCTATGGGCCACATAGTCGTGCTTATCTGGACAGCTGAGGAGCTGTCAATGGGTACACGGCATTACCGCTCTTCCAAACTTGGTTTGGTTGACTAGGAGGGAGCCTGGCCAAAATGCTACTGGGGCCTTGGGGGGAGATTCGAGGAAAAGGATGGTGGATCAACGACAAATTCTATCTCCATGTATTGATCATATAAGTTGTAAGGATTGAAGCCGGGAGTCAATACAAAGTCTAAACAGTTCGTAGCAAATCTTAGTGCTCGTTTTCATGGCCGTTCCACGAACTTGATTCCGAGCATCGATTTCACCACCCTGGAAATATAATCGTATGCATCGGTTCTCACAAGTCCTATTCTATTCTTGCATCCGCTGTTCTGTGCGGGTTGGGGCGTTAAAACGAGAAGAAATAACCAAGCCTGTATTTCCCTTGCTGTCTGTTTACCTGGTATTTATTCGTGTTCTTACAAATTGAACATTCAGTCAGCAAGTTCCGCAAATTTCGTGGAAATTTGGAAATTGAGACGCGACCTTGCACTTTGCTAAACTGAGCGACTAGATGCAAAGAGGAAGAAGGCGGTGTTTTTCTTAGCTGTGGGGAAGAAAACTTTTATCCTTACTTCAAGAAACTTTCTAAGGATCATGGGAAAACCAACCGTAATCTTGTGATTTTCAAGCTTTGAAATGTGTTTCAAAGAACTAGCACCCACCAGCCTTCTTACTCGTTAACGAAAGTCATTCATGAAACCCTTGCCCTTAACAACCCTTACCTCTGCATTGTAAAGCAACAGCAGGATATCCCTGTCCCAAAGTGCTTCCAACAATACCGCCACCAAGCCATTACAATGCCCCCGCCCGCGCAAAGTCCTGTATATCTTAGATATCCCCAGCTTACTTGATTCCCTTTAGGACAAAATATTTGTTGTCAAACTTTGAATTCAAACCGCAGGCTTTGAAGAAACAAACCAAGACTCCCCAATTCTTTGTAATTACCAAACGTTCGGCTGATGAATGGAAATACTGATGTAAACAAAGCGACAAGGGGCATCACGTGATGAGCCTTGAGAAGCAAGCCAGTCGAAGCTTCCCACACTACCCTTGTCGAGTGTTGACTTCAAACCACTTTCAACAGTCCACAACTCGCAGTTCCGTTATCCAGAGAAAAGGGATTACAGGTATAGAGACCCGTCGTCTACCTCAGCTGAGTCCCCTTTTGTAACGTCAAACACTCGAAAAGTTGAACACCGGAACACCGCGAAGCTACTTCACCTTCACTGCGGCCATCGTGCTAGTTGTTGCCGTCTCTCCATTGACCACACCACTTTATCACCTTGCACAAGGCTCCTCCAAACTAGATGTCTACTTTAGAGGAAGGGCCGACATCTAAGGATTCAAGGTTCGAGGCACTCTCAACAACAAAGCGTGTTTCTATGGCTGGCAACACTCGACTTCGGACTCTCCTTCAAACCCTTCCACCTCTCAAAACTTATTTGACTGCTCAATCTTTGCAAACATTCACGGTCTTCCCGAGACTTCCTCTCGAGTAAGGATAATCTGGCTCCTGCTTCCTTTATCACCAGATTCCGAGACCGTCTTGCCTCATCTCGTGTACTCCCAACCTATCACACATTTGCTCTTGAAACACTCTTACAGAGAGATACCGGTATGCTGACTGTCTAATTTCTAGGCTTCGAAGCAGAATCTGGCGCCTCGTAGCATTCGATTCCCGAGTTATCAAGTTGGTCCCCTACAACTTGCCTACGAATCCTCGCGTCGAAGGACAGTCAAAACATCCATCTATGCTTCATGCGTCCCGAGAATCCAGAAGAGAAGGAATGCAGCACTATAGGAAGTGCCTGCAAAAGTGTTGCGACATTCGGACACATTCGCAGAACGTCCCCTGCGGCAAGCCTCGAAACATCATATACGTTAACTTTAAGGTGGATCGATTCCGCTATGGCATTTACGATCGATATGTGGCGAACGATGGAAAGATGGCATTCGATTGGAAGGTAGTTCAGTGGGGTGGCTACAACTTTCAGATTAAGGACATGGTACGAATCAAACGCTTGGAAATTGAATTGTACTGCAGCAAGTTTCCGCAACCGCTGGAGGCTTTCAGAAATTTGAAGCACCTTCGAGACAACGTGAAATTTGAAGAATGTACGTTCTTGGTCAAACGTTGGAATGGTCTAAATGAGGCTGGTAACGCTTCGTTCGAAGACTCCTACAGAACTGCCGATTTTTACAGTTGCATGTTCAATAGCTTCGACCTCATCTTCAAGCATTATCAGGAGCATAGGGGGCTAGATTTTGCCGTCAGGGTGCAACTGAGATCAAAGGGGGAATGGCGTGATCTACCTCCTGGTCCATCTGTCCTTCCGACATCTTCAAAGGAAACTTTAAACCGAGTTTCAGCGCGCATTGAAAAGGGCGATGGTGAAAAAATCAGAGAGAAAGCTGGAGAAAACTTTGAATAGGAATCTGGAGCTGGCAGGAAATCTGGCCAAGAAGCTGAAGAGAAAGGTGGCAAGGGAACCGGAGTGGGAGCTGTCAAATGAACTGCACCTGGAGCTAGAGGAGCAAGCTCAGATTTGCCAACCCCCCCCGATTGAAAAAAATTAAGATTCTTGGGCCTTGTGTTACAGTATTATGCTGCTTGTATAGTTGCAATTGGTGTCGGGTACCAGTTCGGCCGATGTCGAAGGGCACCAGAAATAGCTGTAAAGATCTGTTCAGAGCTCAACAAAAGTCGGTAGCTGCACTATGCAGACTCTAAGCAAATAATCCAAGTTTGATGTACAAGAATGTCGGTTGATGTGCCACAATCATCCTGTAAATATTTGCTCGGAATAGATATGAAATGCCTGCCAACATATCGAAAACATTAATCTCAGACTGCACCATTGAAAACTGGAACTACTATGGAGTCCAAATTCTACTCCCCCGACCCTTCAGAGTTCTCAACATTTGAAAAGTTCATTGCTGTTCAAAAGAATTCTCGCCTTGTTGGGCGAGGCGAAATTAATCCCCTATCTGTCCTCGCCGCTTTTATACGAAGTGAAAATTACCCACTAGAACCTCCCGGTCGCACAATTCAAAATAATAATGAACTTCATGGTTTCTTCCATCGCTCGTAAATACCAGATCAAGCAGAACACCTCAAATGCCTGCTTGGCTAGCAATCTGAGGTTCCTCAATGAGGACCTATTTGAACTCAGGTAAGTATTTGTTCCATACTAGTGGTGTGCTTTGCTTTCAGAGCTCAGTGTACTGAAATTTGAGCTGCAAGGCTGGAACGCAATTTGTCTTTGGGCCACTGCACACCAGCTCTCGGGACATCGAACTCCTTTGAAGAGCTTAAAGAAGTATGCTGACTCTAATTGGTTGTGAATAGCAAAATGTCCCACCTTAAGCAACTCCTGTCTTCTCTTCCCCGCCTTCAAGTCCGATCTCTAGCCTTGGACACCTTTACTTGCTTTCCAAGGCTGCCAAGAGAGATTAGAAACAAGATATGGGCTTTTGCAGCATTGGAGCCTCGAGTCATCCCGCTTTTCATCATGCAACGAGATCTCGAGCATCGCAAGGTCTCCAGTCAAGCTCCACACCCGGCCATAGTTCAAGTCAACAAGGAATCTAGGGAGGAGGGGATGAGGCATTATGAGAGAGTCCTCGAGAAGTGCTCCAGTTTTTGTCCACATCGAGACTTGCTTTACACCTCTGCATATCGACATGATGGAAGATGTTCTGGCCAGCGAATTCCCACCTACATTAACTTCGCCGTTGACCGGTTTCATCATGGATCAGATCTCAATCTGGTTCTCAACAAAGTGGGAATAGATACAACTTCGAGCTGGCTGTCCTGGAGAGAATCCAGAACTTGACTGCTGTGAGAATCTCACGAGAGAAGCCAAGCGAGACCTTTCAGCACACGCACGCGCCATACGAATACAGGATTCCCAGATACTGGTACTTCCCAACTCGCTACGATGACCTCGATCTCCATATCTTCTTGAAGCGCGATGCTTTGAGAGAGTTTACTATCAAGTTCATTGGCGATGGCAATCTCGGAGGACAGGAGATATGGAATGAGGGCAGCGTCTTTGAGAGCATGAGGCGAAGTGAAGGAGCGCGGAGACTGAGGGAGGAGCTTGAGGAATACATCAAGGAGAAGAAGTTCAGTTGCCGGGTTGAGATTGAAATGATCTTCGAGGAGGATGATTTGCAGCTGGAACGTCTTGGACGACGCTCGATCCTTTACCTCAGGATCACTAAGACCAGTGATAATTGAAGCAACATCCACTTCCAATTGGTCCAGAGAAAGATCAGTTCTCAATGTTCTATGCAGGAGCTATTCATAGAGAGCAACAAGTCTTCACTCATTGTTCCACTCAGAAGTTCGTGATTGCGCACAAGTATGTTTGCAAAATTTCGGATTGGCGCAATTGCGCCTATTTGAAAGAACAGCGGAGTAATTGAAACAATGATTACAAAATTTCTATTTCCCAATTTAAACGATTGACCTCAACACCGACCATCAGCCACCATCTTCCGTCAGCCAACCACTTCTATCCACATCGCCACCACCAAGCAAATACCGCGGTTCAGCCAAGACAAAAAGGCTTTTTCATTCTCCTTTGCCGCTTCACCAGCAGGACTCTGCCACCATGTCACGACTTCAAGTTTCCTCCCGAGGTTAGGAGCATAATATGGGGGTTTGCGCTCATCAACCGAGAGTTATCAATTTGTTTTCTCTGGTCGGAGAGATAGATCCAGATCTTGCCATTGGTAGAACATGGAATTCCAACGTGGGGCGGGCACAAACAAAACACTAGAGATAAACAATACCTTAGATATTGACAAAATTTCGCTTAAATCTGCCGGGGTGAATAGGGGTACATTTTAGCTGCTTCTCTTGCTCTAGGTAAACAGACCGCAACAACAATTTCGAAGGCCATCTCAATTCAGCAACATACAACTGCAACAAAAGCATCAGCCTCAAACATGCTTTCAGGATTGCACAGCCTCTTGGAGCGGCTTCCCGAGCTTTTCGTCGACGAACTCTCCCTTCCGCCAACGTTTACTTGATTCCCAAACGTCCCCCTCGAGCTTCGCAACAAGATCTGGAAGCCTACTTCTTTCGAAATCCGACGCATCAATATCGTAATTCTAATCAATCAATGCTCATCTGCACCGTCAAGGGCAGCGTTCCAAATTCCAGCATCCTGTCGGTCAACTTCGAGTCACGAGCAGAGGCGAAGAAGCACTACACTTTCTGTCCGCAAAAGTTTGGACGATTCAAGAGCAACTCCCTAGACTGCGCTGGGAATCTATGTTAACTTCAATGTCGATCGCTTTATTATCAGCAGCTCTTCGACATCTGCCACCGCCGCCATGTCCTAACATCTTATGTCTCATTGCATACGCGTGCATCAATTAATGCATTTTATGTCTCACGGCTTTGCCAATTGCACACACTTTCGGCTTGCAAATTCTCAACAAGGTCAGATTTTTAGACTCAAAAGTTTACATATACTTCAGCCGGCATGCGTTGAAAAGCCAATTGAACAGTGTCTTTCAAGCTGGGTTAGACAAATTCAATGCGGTGGCGATGGGTGACACTTACCGGTTACCCTACTTCAGCGAGAAGTTATGTCGATGATGAGACTGTTGGGCATCATTTGTGGGTGACAGAGAGGAGAGAATGGGCATTAAAGACGATGCAAAATGCTATCGCGGATTAGGAGAGGAGAATGGGCTTGACATGAAATCTCTGGGCGTTGGCTGCAAGTGGCTGGTGCTGCGAGGAATCGATCTTGTCCCTGCGTTTTTGGTTTACGGGGAGTTCATGTTGAGGTAGATTGATCCAATGGAATCAATAGACCAGGGGAAATTACCTGCTTCTTTTTCGAAGACATAAATGGAGCAGAATAAAGAAGCAGGCTCTTGAAAGCACCAGGGGGCGGGCACGTGCATGGAGATGTCTATTGCTGCTGCTGTGGATCGCTTCCAAAAATCAACCCTAAACTCAACTCTCTTAAGTATTTTCTGAAATTAAGGTCTCGATATCTATCGTCTTTTCTGAAAAGAGCTAACCCCATGTGAAGAAACTATACTTGTATTTTCTAGCTTGTGTTCTCATTCTCGGTGGAAATTCACCCCCACCCCCGGGTGCGTCTTAGAGAATTTGCGTATCTCGCTTCCGGCCCACCTTCTCTCCACACCACCACACCACATCCCCTCTTCGCCACTCCACAAACTATCAACTACACTCGCCGTGAAATATCCAGACCTGCGGTGGGGTCAACCCACTTCCCCAACTACGTCAAGCAACGAAAGCACGCGTCCCTCGGCCCCGGTGGCACAGCACAGATCCTCTCCTCCCCAACACCTCCTCAACGTCACAATACCCTTTCCGGCATCACAACAACTTGTCATCACCACTTCTCAAGCGATTGCAAGTCTCAGGATGGAGTTCTCTCCTTTCCCAATTCCGAAGAGCAGCGAAAGCACGCGTCTTACAGCTCTTCTCTCTCAGCTTCCGAAGCTCACCATCCCGCTTCCTCTTCAACCTCTCGAGACCTTCACCTTGTTCCCCAGACTCCCGATCGATATTCGCGTCAAACTTTGGAAGTTGATGTCCACCCAACCGCGTAAGGTCAAGCTATTTTTCGACGTCCCGTCCGGGAGTCGCGCAGAGTCACGCACAATCGAAGGCCAAAGCAAGATTCCCATCGTTCTCCAAATCAACCGCGAGTCAAGAGAGGAGGGGCTACGATTCTACACCCAATGTAAGGAATCTGTTGGAGTCAGACATGGTCGCCATTGGGTCAACTACATTTATATCAACTTCGAGGTCGATCATTTCTCGCACGCCTTCCCTCCCGTGAGTGAATTAGGCTGCGACTTCAACTTTGGCCAGGAGGTTCTGAAGAAAATCAAGTTCGTTGACGCAAATTTCTATGGCATGGGTGAGCATCAAGTTTTCCGGTTCGCGTACTTTGTTCTGGCTCTATTCTTGATGCTGGCTGAGAGTCTGGTCGATTTCCGCTTTGCGATCACGTCCAATGATTACCAAAGATTCGCAAGCCCCGGTGTTCCTCGAGTCCAGAATGTTGGTGGCCACTTGGTAGCTCGTGTTTGGGTGAAAGAACTTCTTGAGTATATCGGCAGGTTCGTTGTCTGGTATGCAGGAAGACGTCTACAAAGTCCAAAGTCCTTCCCTGGAGGTGATCAACAGTCATCTACAAAGCTGGTCCAGAACATTAGTGTTGTATTCAGTGAAGGGTCGTCAGATGCTGCTGTCTGGGACTATTCTCTCCCAGACCTTGATAAGCTGCCGAGCCAGAGGAAGCAAATTAAATTCGAGTAAGGGTTTCTGGAACTGTTTGGAGGAGCCATGGAGAGACTACTGAGACCGATCTCATGATATGGTTAATTGACGGTAGTTTTTTTTGAGCAGCAGAGGACTTGGGTCGTAAGAACCATACAAAGAGATTTGCCAAAGTGCAACTGCACTGCCGTAGCGATTATTGCATTCAATGAGCTCTCCTCCAGCTTTAATTTGGTTTCAAAAATGAAATTTCCTGTACCCAATGTTCCAAAATTGAACTCTTCGTCTTCGTAATCCAATCATGAGCATCGCTGTTCTCAATTCGCCAAAGTCCTTTCGCTCCTTTCTTTCCAGCCCACCCCTTAACCGAACTTCCCAACTTCTTCAACTCAACTTCCTCCTTCAACCAATATCAACTCAACACCACTACTCTCCACCGCCGCCAACCTTCCCAATGGTGTCACTCCATCCTCTTCCATTCGAAAACAACATTCGGCTGAGCGATCTCTACTCGAAGCCTCCAAAGCTGACCGTCACCGGCTTCCCAGAGGACCTCAAGTCGTTCACCTTGTTCCGGAAGCTGGCTATCGGGTTGCGAATCAAGATCTGGGCTACGCAGCTTGGCATCCGCAAACACTACATTTAGCAGAGAGCTGGCACTGGACGGAACTAAAGGGCCGAGTGGGAATCGAGAACAACCACAAAGTCCCCGCCATCCTGCAGACCTGTTCCGAAGCCCGTCGAAAAGGGTTGAAGCATTACGACGTGTGAATAAAGCGCTGCAGCTTGGCTCCTAGCATCCGCAGCGTCTCCGGCTACGCTAAGGATCTACAGCAATTACGAGGAGGGCCCGGGATGTGAAGATGGCTTCATACCAAGCACTGCTGGAAGGGGACTATACATGATTGAGCATAAGTCGGCATTGCTGAGAGATATTTCTTAGAGGAGAGAGCGCAACTGGGTCAATCGTAATGTGACGATTGAAGATGCGAATGACAGGCAGTTATTTCAAGGTGTTGACTTGGGATGCAAGTGGAGGGTTATTGCGGAAGAGCTGGACTTGCACCCTGTCTCTGAGGGGACGACTTTCTTTTTGGGTGGTAGTGCTGGTGGGAAATATGTTGAGGATACAATTGATGATCAGCCTGACAGTGATGTAGACTAGGATGGATAGGAACGCAGCTTCAGCGTCAGAGGTTTTGCTTTCTTAGCGGCATCATATTCCAGATTTCAAGGGAATGGAAGGTCTTGTAGCATAGAGGACTTTACAATCAAATTCCTTTGCTCACCAAAACCCGTCTCTTCCACATCAGCCATGAACATGATTTTCAATCTCTTTACGCTGCTAATTGGAAACCAGCCTAGGTATGGGATATTAGCTCTGAAAAGGGGCGTCAATATTTAACTTTTAACAACCTTTTCAAAATAACACCTCGTTTTGCCTTTTCACACATGGCTTTGACCCCTCCTTCTTCCAAAGTTACCACAACTCCCCGGCCTTGAGCATCCTCCTGCTCCTTGTTGCAAAGAACATCTGATCCAATGCAAACTCGCCGAAGAACAAAGACATACCACAATCAAACCCCTCCGTTATCCCTACGCTCATTGCTTTTGATGGCGCAAAGTCTTCGGGTACATTTCATGATTCTCATTGAAGTTCATCTCCACAGCCGCAAAATTTATGGAGCATTAACCGCAGGACGGCCAGATGGTAGTTCAGACACTTTTAACATCATCAAGCCTCCTTCAGGGCCTGCAACTCTATTCCCTTCTTAACTTTTGCCATACCAGCCACAAATCCGAAATCTCCTCCAATTCAAGCCAAAAATATACGTCGATACAAGCATATCGCCTTCTCCCGTCAAGAATTAAAGCTCACGGCGAAGAAGAACAAAATAAAGCACCTCAAAGATGTTAACTTATTCAGCCGACAACCTCTCATGTAACTTACAAAATCCTATCTACATCCACATCCATGTCCCCAATTTCAAACCTTCCTCACAACCTCCCCCTCAATAACAACACCCGCCGCAACATCCTCCTCACTAATCGTCCTCTGCGGTCCCGTAAACCAGTGCCTACCACCATACCCAAACGGCGCCACCCAACCCACTAAGCTAACCAGACTAATCCCGCCAATCATAATCGGCGCATAATTCAGTGTCTCGCCCGTCACAGGATACAGTTGCGGAAGCAGAAGCACAACACACAAGAATGAAATATACAATCCAGAAATTATAGCACAGGGAATGGTATATCGGCCGAGATTCCATTTTGCAGGTTCAAAAGAGTGGCGGCCAACTGTGTGCCTTGCCAGGATGGGGAACAAGTATGAGACGTTCGTGGCGATTGTAGCTGCGGCGGTGATGGCTGAGAAGGCGACGACGGAGCCGATGACCGCGGTGGTAATGACAACAGACATACCAAGAACAAGCCAGGCGGCATGTATGGGCATGTGTGATTTCTTGCTGAGGCGGCGGAAGTATTTACTCCCTGGTAAAATACCATCTCGGGAGATGGCGTAGGTGACGCGCTGCGCGGACATGAAGCAAGATGCTGTGGCGCAGGTAGAGTCTACCCACAGCAGAGAGAGGATGGCGACTGCGCCATTGGGACCGAGGAGCTGCACAAGGTATGCGGCCCAGTTGTTGGCGTAGGTGCCGGCTATGATGCCGTCGAAGTCTTGGATGCAGAAGAGGATTATGATGAGTGTTGGGACGGACATTACCCAGGCGGAGAGGGTCGACATCCACATCCCCTTTGCGACGATCTCGCTGGCTTCGTGAGTTTCTTCAGCCAGATGCACGGAGGCGTCGTAGCCGTAGAAGACCCAGGCCCCGAAGAGGATGGAGATGATCCAGCAGTACGCATCACTCGCTTGCTTTTCTTCACCAAGATTGATCCCGTTGTAGAAGTGTTTGAAGACTCCAGAGCCGGACTGGAAACCGCCTGTTTGAGCTGCTTTGATGGGGAACCAGATCCAGTACATGACTACCAGCACGTGGAAGATCACGATGGCAAAGCGGAAGTACCATTGCAGGACTTTCTGGTTGATGACGTTGGGCGCCATGGCGAAGAACATGCCGATTGAAGTTAAAAGCCATGCGAACCAGCCTTTGGCGAGCACTTCGGTGTCAGGGTATTGGATTTCAAGGGCTGAAATGAGGAAATTTGTGGAGCCTTGCTGCACGCCTGGTACGACGCAGATCTGTGTATGTGAGTCCGTGATCAGTGGTCGCCGGTTGAGGGGTCCTACCCATCCTGCCCAGTTCCTGATACTGTTAGCAAGATGTCTGGAATGGATCAAGCGGGAGACTTTACCACCAACCAGTCATCCAAGAGAGGAAGGGACTTCAAGCTAGTTAGCAACTACCTCTTGACCTCAACAGGGATAACATACCCCCATTTAGGACCACCTAATCTGTACGACCACTAGTTAACGGAGGAAATTAGCAGTTGCTCCATTAAGACTGCTTCTGGTAAGGGGATAGTCTCGGGACGAAATCATGAGACAGTCTGAAACAGGAAATGGATTTCTCCCTCAGTACTCACATAATAAATCCCTCCTGCAGTCGGAAGGGCAGCTGCGATTTCAGCCATCGAGAGACTAACAACGAAGGAAAGACCGCCAATCATAGTCCAGTTGGCAAAAGCAGCCGTTGGACCTCCTGTGCTGGAGAAAAACGGGAGTCAGTAACTGCTTCACCCGCCGCAGCCTGCAGATAGCGGGAGCTTCCGAGACACTCAAAATAGGGAATATTGCCTCTGGTTACTCACTACATGACAAAACCGAAGAGCACTGGAATCCCGGAAGCAAAGTTCATTGACTGAGCAGTATCAGCGCGGGCTCTTCACTCATTCCCTTTCGACCAACAGTAAACGTAGCAGCCCTAGTTCACAATTAGTCTCCATCTCAATCTCATCCAGTAGCAGCATACCAATTCTCAAACAGACCTAGCCCTCGAAAGAACTCCTGTTTGTAACCCAACTGGGCCAATTTATACTCATCTTGAGTGAAGATATTCTTCGCGCCTGCCTCTTGAATCGACTCTGAGTCGCCTGCCATCGGAACAGACTCAATCTTGTTGTCTGCAGCCTCTGGAGCTTTCTCCATCTCCTCCGATTTGCAGCTCGAATTGCGCAACATTCGTGAGTATCACAGCAGAGTCAAGTTGTACAGAAACATAAGAACTCTGCAGGTCCAGTGATAGAGGACAAATAAGGAGCAGGAATCTAGACTTGCAGCTAAGAAGTGCAGAAAAGTTTATTTTCGATAACAGAGACCAGGATGGGCGATAAAGCTATGCTCGAGTGACAAGGGAAGCTCCTTGGAAGGGCATGTTAATGGTTGGAGTGATTGGTTTGAGTGGGAGGCAAGGACTGAACTTTTGCCGTTTTGGGAAGCTTCATCCGGGGTAGCACTGCTAGAGATCAGGCCGCTCTTGCTGACGGCCGAACCGTTCTTATCATGCACCCAGCTTGCATACTCATGCAGCTCAGCTGAGTACGAACCATATATGATAACGCTCTGGTCCCAAGAGTGGGATGAGCTAATGTGCAAGGGACGTGCTACCCCTGTTGTTTAAAGAGGTGAGTGAGGGGGAATCTTGCGATAGGGAGCAAAGTCAGAACGGCCTCGGGAATCTGTTCGGCAACTATGCGAAGAATAAAATGCACTCGGAGTCTTGTCAATGGTCTAAATCCTCCCATGTGTCCAACTTGTGAACGTGTAGAAGCGCCATCTAATTCTACAATACCAGCCAAGCCATCAAACCTCCAACCGCCAATACAAATGTGGATATCGAGGTGATAAATGTAGTCGCAGAGTTAGCAGTGACCATCGGAGGTGTCGAGGTTGTGGTAGCGGTCGAGTTCGAGAGAGGAGCATAAGAGCAGACGTTCTGACTGTCCAAGAACACTCCAACAGTCTGCGCATCGGTGAGGCGTAGCATACGAAGAATCGGTTCGGCGACCGTGGCGTTCGAGGCACAGAAATTAATCGTAAAATTGAAGGTGCTGGCAGCACCATTGCAGATTGGTGTGACAGTTGTACCATCGTAGTCTCCGTAGAAGCTGATATTCGTGGTTGGAATGGTCAAGAGGCCCAACGCATGATTCTCCTCGTATGGCCCATTCAGTGGCTTCGAGTATGTAGTGGTAGTCTCAACACCTTATGCTCCTGCAACATCGAATGTCTTCGCCGTCCTAACTGTGTTGTCTATGCTATTGAGTGTGACAGAGCCTGCTGGAGAGCTGCTTTAGGCGAAGTTTTGGTAGTCGCCGATAATCGACATGACTTGCGCGTAGGTGTAAGGAACCGTGAATATCACAGTATCAATACCAGGATAGAATCCGTAGTGCAGCAATTGGGGAAGGAGGCATTGTTCTGCGCGGAGATGCCTGCAGCTCCCATGAGGAGAACGAGAAGAGTCGAACTTCATCGTAAGGATTGCTTTGGAAGGCTTGAGAAACGAGGGAAAGATAAGACGAGCGGAGAGAATTTGGAACCTGGGAACAATGTCAGAAAGATACCACGCTCAACTTACATGCCGCTCTTTGTTGCTTCGAGACAAGGTTGAGAACGAAGCTCGTCGTGGTAGATACGGAGGTCAAGGCACAACGGAGCCGGCAGCCAGCCTTCATTACGGATTACCGTCCATTTGGGAACTCCCATTGGCATAGAAAGGCGCCAGAAGCCAGGGAGGAATATAGCTCTTGAGCTTGGTGTTTCTCGCGTGTAGCTAGGAGATCTGGGCCTCGACGACGATGGCACGTTAATTGCCTCGGGCAGCCATTGCAGTGCTTCCCTTCATCCTATTCCTGGAGTCGTCATATTGGGGGAAGTATTCAAACGTGTTGTGGAATCGTGTTTTGGGTGTGTTGGGGCGTCCGGGGATAGAGAGGGTGGTTCAGAAGAGATGAAATACAGTTATGGTTGTTCCTCGCTTGGAATTTTTTTGCGCCTAACCCAAAACGCGCTTTCCAGCACTCACCCCACACGCTCTCTCTTTCTCTTTCTCTCTTCTTTCAGCAACTTCACTCCTCAACAACAAGGAATCACCGGAAGATGCATAGATCATATTTGATTTGTCGCATACCACGATATCATAAACCAGATACCCAGCCGATGTCTGCAAAGAAGAAAATATCAACTTCTACTGCAATTTCTTCGTTTCTCAGGTTTTGCTCCGTATACTTCCCGCCACCTTGAGACCGATTCAGAGTCTCAAATATTTCTATTTCTATCCCGGAATCATTTTCGATGCCAAATTTCACCCATCTTCACCAATCCAACAATCCTCTCGCATTTGCACTGCAAACCGACGTTCGACCGCTGCCGAGCTCCTTACAGACTGCGTGACGATGTTAGCAAATCACTCAACACACCAGGAGAGACCTTCTTACATTCATCATCAGCTTTACCTTCCATAGAGAAGTTCTGGATTTGAGCTGCAGGATGAATCTCGGCACCTGCTCTTCTCTCCGCACTGAGATGCACCTCCAGCAGTTCGTTCATGTGAGCCTGTAGAGCAGAGGTAGTGAAGGAAGAAGAGGATCCCTGCCTTCGACTCTCTTGCGCGTTTGCAATCATTTGATCGATTTCCGACGAAGTGTGCATCTTCAATGTTTCTAAGTCGGTAACCTTGGGCGACTTGGATGCGAAAACGCTGCATTCGATAATCGTACTGTTCGCAGACTTCGGGAATGCTGCGAGAACAATCACAATTCCACATGCAACCCTTCTTACGATGGTAGTACCGGAAATTCTCAAAGTCTGCTTACCCCATTGAAACCGAAGAGGCAGGTGGCTGAGCCACCACTGCTCCTGCTGGCGATCCACGCGGGGCTCGAGAAAACCTGCCTGGGTCAGCGCGTGCCACCCTTCTCACCAAGGAGACAGACCAAGGGACTTCCAGTTCACGGATGCTTCAATCTTCCAATCTACAACGCATTGCATCATTGCCACACCCCATCTTCTCAGCATGATTTCCCCCTCTGCGGGACTCATACTTTCAATATCGCGACCCGCATCAAAGTTGATGCATACCATCCCCTCCCGAACCTCAGTCTTCACTTCCCATAGCCCGTTCTTCTCTTTGTCAAATTCTGCCACGTTTTCGAACTCCGGAGCTTTAATCAGGTGTCCTTTTGTATCATAACTCCATCCGTGGTACCTGCACCCCAGTACTGTCGAGCTTCCACACGCTTTCTTTGTCACAGCATATGCGCGATGGCGACATACATTGTGGAACGTACGCAGCTGCTTATCCTTCCCCAGAATTACGATGAAGGAGAAACCTGCGAAATCGTAAGTTCGATAGTCACCTGCTTTCTTGAACCTTGATGCATGGGTTACGAAAAGCCAAGTCTTGGATTACACTCTGTCAGAATTCTGCATGCGTTGAGCAGTGAGGCCACATGCCTTGCTGAAAATAGCTCGCCGTTCGAGCGCGAAGATTTTCTCATCTGTCCATCCACTCAAGATACTCATCCGTGGGAAGGAATCTTCAGAATCTACTAAACTCTTTTCTTGGGACGCTGCCATCTGTTTCTTCGCTAATGTCCCGCTCACCTGCTCCGGAGGCATCGTGATAGCTGCAATGATCAATCTTTCGATCCTCAGCGATGATATCACATATCCCAACATAATTGCGATGCCCAATCCACAGTAGTACGAATAAGCATCAAGGATCGCCATACTGCTGTGTCCAAGTGGAAGACCCCGAATATGTTTTGATCAGTTCTCGTATAACGATATTTCAAAATTTGTTTCCTACACGAGGAAGGATGTGGGGAGCAAAATCGAGAAGTTCTTATTTAGCAATCAAGTCAAGAGCAGCTATACTCTCAGGCTCCAGTTCCTTTTGATGCCCGATCAAAACGGCCAAAACCTAACAATTATCCGGATTCGGCTCAAACTTCCACCCGGCGATTAATTAAGTCACTATCTAACGCCCATTAGTCGCGGATGCAGCGGATTCGTTCCGACAATGGGGATGCTGCAGGTGCGCGTGGTAAAGTCCGATACGGAGCTTTTTGGCCCAGCAAAACCCAATTTCAAGCTTTTTCTGACCGAGGTGTTCGTGGAACGAAGGCATGGCCATGATGATCTCAAGACTCCCTGGATCGGATTTCCGCATTCGGGATGATTCGTGTACCCCGATATCCACCAACCGCCAATGATATCGTCCCGCCTGCTGCGTCACGTTCAACAACATCCAAGTATCGATATGACACTTCATCGTGCGGGGAATGGAATCAAGGAGAACCAAGACTCTCTCTTCAGGTTTCCGAGTTCTCATATGAGAGAGCGTTTTAGTGTGACGAATCTGCCTATCGCCACTAGAATCTGACAGAGCAAACATGGAATCGCTCTCTCGGACTTTACCAGCCTCTTGGTTTTGTAGCCCTGCGCTTTATCAGCTAGAACGAAGAGCTGTATTTCTCAAGGTAACTGCCCTTAGGGTTCCAAAAGCGATCTCATAGCTGGCATTGATATGGTCTAGTCATGGCATTTTCTCGGTCCCGTGACTCGATTTCAGAATCGAAGGGAGCCGGTCACATACGAGATTGCCCAAGTGACAATTATTGTTGAGAATACAAGTCCAGAATCAGATGGCATCACCAGTGATGGAATTATTGTCTATGCGGAAGACGAGGCAAGACTCTGCCAGCTGACTCAAACCACTGCTAAAATTCCTCAGGCGAGAGAAATCAAATACCACCTTACGCCCAGCGGTTTACTCTTCTCCACATTATCGCACAACGCTCCACCTTTTGAAAAGTACTTCGCCGGGCTAGAAGCTCTCACGAACACCGTCGATTTCACCAAGCTTCCCCACCGCCGCAGCATCTCTTACTCCGGGCGCTTCAACTGGAAGACCATGTCCGTTCTTCATCCCCCCACTGGGGCCTCCTTCAATTTGTCACTAACTTTGCAGGATCGACGGTTTCCAAGAATGCCTTCACTGCCAATACACGCACCCGACCTTCTCCAAATTCTACCCACCCACCTTCTACTCCGTCACCAACCATTGCACCTTCAGTCAACACATCGCCGACCCCTCCAAACCCTCCGACGGGCTCTTCCTCTACTTCTTCCCGATCTGCACTTTGAACGTCTACGGCGGAGGCATGTCATCCTTCCGCACCTGCCCTGCCCCTGAACCTGGCATGAGCAGAATGGAGTTCGATTATTATCATAATGGTACAGATGAGGAGTTTGAAGAGTACTTCAAATTTGTGAGGCAGGTTGCAGTGGAGGATTTCGAGCTTTGCGAGAAGGCGCAACAGGGGTTGGAGGGGGGCGTTTATGGCGAAGGGGTCTTGAATCCGGATAAGGAGAATGGGGTGCTGTTTTATCAGAGGCGGGTTAGGGAGTGTGTTTATCGGCAGTTTGATGCGGAGAAGAGGGAGAAGGAGGAGCAGAGGGAGGAGATGGTGGGTGAGGGGATGCAAGGTTCCGGGGAGAGTGCTGGCGGGGCTGTTGCAGTGCAGTAGCATGGTTGAGCAGATCGCAGTGGTTCAAGGAGAAGATGATTTTGCCAAACGTTATCTCTGGTTGTGGATATTTTTTTCAAGTCTTACTTTCGTTTGTTTACTCAACAGATGAATGCGGCACATCTTGTTTTCTACATTGCGATCCGTGTTCTGTGTCCTGCAGCTGATATTACTTCCCTGTCCAAAATATCGTACATTGAGTTTAATATCCATTAACAGCGAATCTGACCCACCAGTGAGCTATCTAAAGCGCTGAAACTACTCATACTAGTAGTTGAACTCCCCTTCCTCGAGCCAGACCCAGTTCCACTGCACCTTGGGTAGATGCGTCGTCCTGGCTGGTGGTACTCTCGCTCCTTGACTATACGAAGCGCACGCCCCCAATGTGAATTGTTCTTCATCTCTTCCTCGTTCTCAATGATTGGCAGGTTCGCATATTCATCATACATATCCTCCTCCCACAAGCCTCGATACGAAAGCCACTTGATCTTCTTCAAAACCTCCTTCTCGAAATTAAAGATGAGGCGCTCTCCCTTCCTCATGTCATGTTGGCTCCCAAACTTCAGCATGAACCCATCCACCTCAAAATTAACCCAGTGTGGATCAACAGGGGTACTCAACCGTCAGCTACGGTTGGGGATGCGGCCATGAGCAACGTCCCAACTTATCTCGTCTCTGATCTGCTCGGGCAGCTATTTGATCTCCTTATCTCCAAACCGCACCCGAGGTATCCTCATCCAGGCTGTCTATTCCAAGCATCGTAGAGGCATCGCGAATACGCATGCTCTCTAGTCTTGATGCATCGCTTTCTCGGGAATATGGCGAGTCTGGTTCGGGATTTTGGATACAATGTTACTTCCCGGGTCAGAAACGTGTAGACGAGGTTGACCTTTCGAGACTAGAGCGCAGCGAGGTCCGGATGGCATTGCGGAGTTCGACTGCGAGCTTAGGAAAAAGGGTGAAGCTGCGAAGGGGGGTGGGATCGGGGGTTTGGAGGGGGGGGACTTTTGCTGAGGACGGTGACGAACCAGGACGTCTTGGAGGGGTGGAGGGATTGTCGAAGCCGGCAGACGGCCAGCCGAGCTCCTTTTCGCTCTGAAAGCCGTGCGCTGCTTGTCTTTTGCTGTTGGTTGGAATGACCAATCTCGCATGGGAGTGACGGACTAAAATTGGTTCCCTGTAAGTGAGCAGGCAAGGCGTTGCAGATTGAAGTTTAGCTCTTAAGCTATTGTCAAAATTTATGCCAGAGCACATGGAGATCTAAATTTGCACTAATTTCAATGTACCTATTAATCAAAAAGTAATGTTCCCAGGTTCAAACCGTAAATGGCACCACTCCTTCTAAGCTAACATTTTGTAAAGCTTAGCACCAACACCCCCTCCCACACAATACGCAACAAGAGGCCTCTATTGTAAGATCTACCATAAAATTTCGATAAACTCTAAACCTAAGATTGGCCTGCAATGTGATAGCAGGAACTCCCACTGCGGCGGCTGAGACTGGGAGATTTAGCTACATGACGATCGGAACGAATTCCACTTTAGGAATCAATGATTTTAAGTACCGAGTTATAAAATATCTGTATCTAAAATTTTACAACCTGAGGTTGGAATACCAGCAACTTAGCTTGCTCCACGGCAGGAAGGTGAACTATATTGTAATTGTCTACAAGGAGGTGGACAGAATCCGACAGATGAAACATCGTCCAGCTCTTAACAGGTCGCTTGCAAAAGCTGGAGCAATGATCGATAGCCTTATGAGATCAGAAAAAAAGTTAGATGAGGTCTTGCATTTCAAACAGGTAGTTGTATACCTTTGCATCAAAGCACTAGTCCTCCCAGGCAGACTGCCAGGAACGTTGCTCCGATACTGCTATTCGATTAGTCACAGAGTCTTCAGACAAGGTGGAGTACTCACAACCGGTAATACGTTCCCTCAAGTGGGGACCTTGCAGCAGAGCCTTGGGCCGGAGTAATTGGAGATGTTGAGGGATATCCAAGTGAGGATGGCCCAGAGCCCCCGTCACTAATTGTGGCTGTTGCGTTCAAAGTCTATGAGAGATGCTATGTCAACTCCTGCATTGAATCTAACATTTTGAGAGTATATCTACCCAGTTATACGCAGACAAGAAGCCAGTACCATTCGGGCCGCCGGGAACAACAATATCCACACACGATTCGTAAGTTTGGTCTGCTTTAGTGCCAAACCAAAACCACTGTAACACCTAGGGAGAGTCAGTTCAAAGTCAACCCTTTCAGTATAGATAACTTACACATGTGCCCGGAACTGAGCAAGTATTCCCCAACCTCGTCGGTATTGTGACATTGAAGTTGGTGTTATTCGCCGGAAGTTGTGGAAGAGATTCATCCGCATAGCTCACAAAGCTAATCAACGGACCACCCATCACCATATTCATCTTCGTATTAACGACGCTAACGTTCATAGGCCCTTCATGTGCAATTGGGATACTCGCGCGCATATTGACAACCTGTCCGGGCTGCAATGTCTGCACATTGGCTATATTGTCTTCAAATTGAAGCCCCTTGCACAGAAACACATTACACCTACTTGCGCTGAAGGTCTTCTCCTTGAGCGCAGCTTCTGGCATTCCTTCGACGTGACTGGTGTTGTCTGCAGTGACGAGAGCAGCGACTGATGCGCCGCAGGCGGAGACCATCGCCGGACCAACTGCCCGCGCCGGAGGAGAGGTAATCAGGCCATGACTAAGGACCGACGTCGCGAAGAAGAGGTACGAATACAGCATTATAGAAATTTGAACTAGAACAAAGTACAAACAACGGGCCAGGAAGACCAAAAACGAGTGGAGGTTAGAAGACTGAAAATGGAGCAGATGAGGCCAAGAGGGCGTCCGCATGTGTTTACTTATGTCACTCCCGGTCTCAGCCCCATCTCATGCATCAGATTGTTTACCACAGACTCCCATATTCCAGCCGGCCCTGGGAGAGGTTTTCTTAGAAGAATTGAATATGACAGAAATTCTCCGTTGTGGGGGAAACGTTGTTCTTGTGAGACAAGCAACGTTTGGAGGTGGTGCACAAAGCGTGTCACGTTTAACAACGCACACGGAACAGTTCCTAAACCGGATCCGAAAAGATAGACTTTGGCGGCTAAAAATCGAGAAGGGCCGAATGAAATATAAGCAGATTACTTTGCCGTCGAGGAATTTGCCACGGGATGAAAGTGAGAGCTCGAGCGGATGTTGCTGAGGCCGTTCCGCTTGTTTGGTCACCTACTACAAAATATTCTCGACGCATCTCAAAATTTCCACCACTTACCAAAAGGTTATCACATGTTGTGAAACTGGTTGAAATACCTGATGGATTTTCTTTTGATTTTCTCAGGCTGCTCTAAGTTATAAGGATGCTTGTTATTGAAACTTAACGAGGTGCTAACGCTGAAGACCGATGGATTGCAGTTCGCAATGCTGCACCAGTGGCCGAAATATGACAAGACAAACCTGATATGGGAAGAGCGACTACGTTGGAAGGTAGCTTTTTATGATATTCGAGCATTAAATTTCCATATATCGTCTCGTTCCTCCGGTGACAGCCCTGGGGAGAGGGTGTAAACCTCCGTGTATGGAATCAGTCTATGTAAATTGTTATATCGAGAATAGGGAGGATGGAAAGGAAGGTCTTTGACCTGTGGTATCTTGAGAATCGGAGGAAAGAAACATTGTGTTGTTAACTTGTTGTGAATCATGCCGTCCTCGTAGTTCTGGTGAGCAGGGGAAGGTCGCATTGTGTTCCTGTTCGATTTGGAAACATATCAACATTATTCTATGACTCGGGCCTACTTTGCAGAATTGTGTAGGGAACTCTTTTCTGGGGGAGGTTTAGCCCTCAAGATAAGAAGAGAGATCAAGTCCTAATCTTGAAAGTAACAAGCCCTAGGATAGATCCCGCCGAATTAGCTGCAAGCCGTGAAAAGAAAATGCAAGTTTTACAGGCAGCTTCAATAACACCTTCTCAGCTTGAGCGACATCCATCTCACTTCGTGTCCTGAACCAACGGCAGTTTCTCTCTGCACAACAGCAACCTGATATCCTCCTCAGCTTAATTCCAATCAGCCCCCCGAGTGAGAATGGTCAATTGCAGACTGTTCTTTGAACCTAAGTCTTCAAGTTTTGCTCGTAAACGTCTGCAATATTGTGCTGCTTCCTCTTTCCTCCAAAGATCGTTCAGAAAGCCTCCTCTCGGATCTACAAGTCCGTACTTGTATCCTTCCAAAAATTGGAAACTGACTTTCTTCAACCCCTTCAGCGCAGTGTTCTCCCTGAAGCACCAAGCGAGACTGCTGTAAGGACACGCTCTCGTCGCAACCATGTAGTGGAGAATTTGGATCCGCGCCAGGTCGTCGGCATTGAAAACGAAATCTACAGAATCCGGCCAGGGAGCAATTCCATCGACCATCCCATCCCTGGTTCCATAAGACAACAAAAACGAATCCAACTCGAAGTTAACCCAGTGTGCATTTCGCTCTTCTTGTTGTATGCGATCATGCTTCGAATCTTTCGTGTATCCAAACATGGAAGCATAGTCCGACGATTCGTATCGACATCTTGGGCAATCGCTTTTGCATTCTTGACCTTGTTCGAGAATCATGCTGTAGTACTTCTTGCCCACAGCTCGGGATTCCTTGCAGGCTTGAAGAACTGCAGGATGTGGCAATCGCCCTAGATAATCATTTGCGGAACGCTTCTTGATGGTGTTGTCGGTGGGATTTCTGGAGTAGAAGAGGGGAATGTAGCGCGGCTGGAGGGAAGCGTAGGTCCATATCACGTCGCGTAGCCTAGCACACGGAAAGTCAGCATCTGTCTCATTCAGAAGTTGTAGATAGAGAATTTGAACGATAGAAGCTCGGTCAGAATGCAGAAGAGTTCAGCGCAACTTGGAAGACAAGATCTAAGAGAACTATTGTTCTTACTCAATTGGAAGTTTGGGAAAGGGATGGAAGGTCTCAAGCGTTTTACCGTCTGATTCCGGGATCTGAACAGGGGGGAGGTGAGACAGGAGCGACTTCACGCGTTCCATTTTGGAGAGGGTGAGTGGTCGGGTGACGATCCTTTGCACCTCTCCAAAGGCTGTGGTGCCGCCGAAGGAAGTTCGTTGGTTGTGGGAGGAAAGGCGGAGGATGGAGGGGACGTTGGCTATGGCAATATTATTTTAGCGAGTGGGAACAAAACATGGTCACGAAACGTCGGATATCTGGCAGTGAATGTGCACTCGATTTTTATTATGGCCATTTAATAGGAGACGTTATTGCTTGATGTCGAGACACGCTCTGCTTCCACGGCTTTACTCTCCACAGCCCCCCACCAAACATATGCAAATCCATTGCGCCCAAGACATGCTGGTAAGGAAGATATAACAGGCTACGAACCGCTGCTATCCCTTCCTCTCCCAACTACAATCATCAATGCAGAGCTTGAGCTTCTTTCTGCCCCTGGGCGGATCCTCGGAAGGAGCACAAGGACAAAGACCAATATCCTTGTTTCCCATTGTCCTCCAAAGAAACTCCAGCTTTGGCAACGCTTTTTTCGTCTTAATCCTACACTGGACGCAGCGTCGGTATGTTGAGATCGAGTCGAGACAATCCTTGGCTTCATATACCCGACGGATTTGGACGGAAAAAAAGTATTTAAAATCTTATTTCTTTTTTAATACTTTAAATACTTTTATATTTAAATAATTTCTGGTTTTACTTATTTCTTATTTTAGCTTATTTTAGCTTATTATATAGCAAGCCCCTAAAATCAGTGTGGGAAATGAGTAGAGTAGAGTAGAGTAGTGGGCCCTACTCACATTCTACTCAAATAAATTTCTCACTACTCATACTCTACTCAATACTCTACTCAACTACTCTAGAATATTTTAGAGTAGTTGAGTAGTACGCACGTGACGTTATACGTGACACGCTAGCCTAATTAGGTAAGGCTCCGAGGTGGCCCGAGTCTAGCGCCACTATACTGCCCAATCAAGTAGTGGCAAGGCTTAGTAAGCAAAATAGAACTATAATATATTCTTAGGCTTCCTCGGCTATTAAGGGCAAACTCTTCTCTCAAGGTGCTCTTATTATATCTAAATCACATAATAGACTTAATAAGAGTACTATTAAGATAATATCTTGCTTAAAAAGCTGGGGGTTATTTAAAGACGAATTAGAAGAAGTAAAAAGAGAAGGAAAAAAGAAGGAAAAGAAAGATTCCAAGGAGGGAAATCTGTTTTTTATATAAAAAAAAGTAGTATTTAAATAGCCTTATATAAGCTCTAGTTTAAATTATATACTGCTATTTAATGGGTATCTTATTTATTTATTAATAATTAAATAAATACCGATTTACTACATTCACGTAACTACTCTTAAGTTACTCTAGAGTAGTACTCTACTCTACTCTACTCAAGTACTATATTACGCTACTCAAACTCTACTCTACTCTACTAAAGACTACTCTAGAGTAGCTTGAGTAGCTTGAGTAGTTTTTGCCCACGCTGCCTAAAATTGCTTTTTAATATTTATTTTTTATTAATAAAATATTAATAATTATAAGTATTATAAATATAATATTTAAAACTTATAAAATAAAAATAAAAATTCCTTATAAAAATAATTTAAAGTTAAATAAAAGAAAACCTTCTTCTATATATTTTCTATATATTTTCTTAATAATATAACTATATTATATATATTAGGTAATTTAAAGTAATATATATAAGAAGATTCAATAATTAAATTAAAACTAAAATTATAATATTAGTTTTTTTTATTAAAAGAAATCTTATTCTTTTAGCTTTAAAGAAAACCCTTATTTTATTTTATTAATATTATATATATATATATATATATAATATTTATTTCTTTTATATATAACTTGAGATTTAATTAATTATATATATTTATTTTATTTAAATTTCTTATAATTTTAAATTTTTATTAATTATATATTAAAGTATTATTTTTAAAAAGTAATTAAAATTAGCTTTAAAAATATTAAATCTCTTAAGTTCTTATTTAATTAAAGTATTACAAAACGAGTTTTGAAATCGAATATATAATAAAATTACTAGTAATGAATTAAAAAAGCCAAGAATATTTATTAAGTTTAAATTAAAGCTTTAAGAAATAAAAGTAATAAAAAAGTAAAGTAATAATAATAATAATAAAAGAGAGAATTATAGTAATATAAAAGTATATAATTTAAAAGAAAAAGCGCGTTATAGCTAGCTATATATAAAACTTATTAATAAGACTTAGCTAAAGTTATAAATAACTTAAGAAAGCTATTAATACTTTATTAACTATATAGCTCGAGATTTTTTACAAGTACTATTTTCGATTACATGAGACATTTATTTAGTTATTTACTAGATACTTCCTTAATACTCAAATATATAAGAGAGTTAATAAAATAAGTCGAATTTTTGAATTAATAAAAACAAGATATAATTATTAATTTTATAATTGCCTTGTAATTAATTCTCTTAAAACTTGGTTTTATTAAGAGAAAGAAATATTTTACTAGTTTTTCTATATTTGCTATAACAGATATAATAAAAGTAAGAAATATATGTTATGATTCTCCAAACCTTGTAGTCTTACTAGACTCGATTTCTTCTACCCAGATAAAACTGTCTATCACAGCTCTAGGTCTCCTCATACCGGTTGGTAAATCGGGACCTTTGCTGAAGCCATTATTTTGGTTTGGCTCCACCCCCTCTCTGCTAATGATTAAACTTGGACGTTTAGAATCCTGAGATTTGGATTCAGGCATAGATGGCATTATTGGATCATGGGTGCCGCCACTGCTGACCGGAAGACGAAGACCACCAGTTTTGAACTCCTTACTCGTATCCATGTCGTTTGCATCTGTCGATGTTTCCTTTATGGTGTCGCTCATCTCATCAACCCAAAGTGTAGGCTGGACATCTTTTCGCTGTACCAGTTGCTGCTGAGCAATGCGCTTTTTGAATTCCCTGGAGAAGTACCTAGGCACATATATTTTAGCCAATGCATGCTCATCTTTTGACTAAGTGGGCATACACTGTTTCAAGGTAGCTGACGACTACTTGGTGGGCAAGAATCTTTTCTGCCCTTCGTATTCGCGCCTTTCGGAAGGCAAATTCCTCAAGCCTAATATTCGGTTGTCAACACTTGCAGGTTTCACAATCGCCATTTGTTCTACTGCTTACCGTAAGTACATTCGGCTATGGTCAACAAGTTTAGAGTGTACAAGAAGCTCGAGAATGCTTCCCATTGCGATCTGACCCTCTGGGTTCGCTAGTAATTTTGCTTCCAAAACAAACATGTCGAGCTGGTGTCGACGCTTGCGGGTATCAGCAATATCGAGAAGACACAACCGTTTGTTTAGCGCATGGAGATTTACTCCCGGAAAGCCGCCCATATCTCTCTCCAAAGTTTTTCCATGGGGACAAACGGATGGCCCTAAGTCGCTGAGAATCTGGGTCACAGAATCCCTCGGGGGATGGATCCGCATGTCAAAGACTCCCGACAGCCTGCCTACGAGTTTATGTATATCGGCTTCACCGATGTATCCAGTACCTTCGGCATCGACTGTCTGCCAAGCCTCCTGAAACCTCTGAGTGTCCTCGTCACTTAGCTGCAATTCGGCTATTTCTGATCGAAAGTGATAGGCGAAGCGTTCGTAAATAAGAGCAACTAGCATGTTCATGAATAGAAACATGCTGAGGATATTCCAAGATATGAAGAGGATACGAGCCCATACCATACTGCCACAATCGCTATCGAAAGGCGAGGTCTCTGCAACACAGAAGGGTGGGCTAATTGTCGCGAAGCTTGCCATGATTTCACTCCAGTCTTCGCCAAGGCTAAGACGAAATAATAGCAGGGAAGCGTGCGGAATAGTTTGGAAGTTAATAAGAACGTCATCCGTGGGTCCAAATCGCGTCAAGCCAAACATCTGAACCATAGCGATTGCGTAAGCGATGAGGAAGACAAGCCAGACGGCGACCAGGTTGCCTATTGCCGGAAGAGTAAGAACGGCATAACAAAAACTCTCCTTCAAGACCTTGACTCGTGGTATCAGATGTAGTGGGATCGCAATGAGGAAGAAATTATGAGCCTGTTCTGCTTGTGCCCATTGGTCCGTTGGCATCCGTATCACCAATAGTGAGGACAAAAACATCCCTGATATGGTGCAGAAAGAGAGCAAGAGCCAGATATTTCCTAGGAAGAAAGCTAGTCCAAGACCAACAATCTGGGTGCAAATATCTATCAGATAAGCCATTGAAAATGCCAGGAATATGTAGTTCCGGGTCCTTGCCCACCAACTAGGCTCGGGGTAGAACTGAGTTGAAAGCAAAATCAGCTGTGCGACGAGAAGACACGTAAGACAATTCTGCCAGCTGGAATTTTTGTTCAGTGTCTGGCAGCGCCGCCTAATATAGTGCTGGCGGCTGCAAGGCCTTTGCAATGGAGCAACCGCATATAGCTTTCGCCGAAGTTCCAGCCAGGCCATCTGATCATCGAACAGATAGGCGGTACCTGTTGCCCGAGTATAGCTGCGAATAAACGTAGCAAGGAACACGATTAGGATAAAATTAGTGGCCACAAAGTTGAAAACAACGAGAAACAGCCCAAAGCCCTGGGAATGCAAGGGCCTTGGTTGGAGGCCAGGTCCTGTTATAGCCTGCACCGCAAATGAGACATCTACCCAGCCGCTCTGGGTGATGATCGTAAAGGTCGTCAAGAGGGCGTCGGCAAAGGTGTCGAAATTGAAATACGGATTACTAGCTACGCGTGGCGCGAGAAGTGGCCAGGCGCTGCTGTATGGGGTGCTGTGCCATTCGCCAAAACAGTCCCGAAGATTGGAGATAGCCGAGGATTTGTCGTTACAAGCTACGAGTTGGCCATTGAAAAGGTTCAACCCATAGATAGCGGAGGGAACTAGAATCGAAATGGACAGGATAGATGCCTGGAACAGTAAAAAGATTAGGACTCATGCCTCAAAAGGTATCAGAATCTACCTTACCACTATAATCCTGCTGAACCCGGTGCACATTAGGGAGAATAATGTATATCTGGCTGGATCGCTCACGGTCAACAGGCGAAAGGCACGGAGAGATTTGAAGACTGCCATGCTTCTTGGGGCTGCTCCCTCTGTCACGATGGTTGTAACAACAGTTGCCCACATTGATATTAATATCGCGCCGTCGATACTGCCCCAAAAAGTTCGGTAATATGCATTGGGGGTCCAAAAGAACCCATCGGCAACGCTTCTGATAAAGGCTTCGAAGGTAAACATGACAGTGAACATAATGTCTGTCCAAATAAACCACGTCTTAAGGCTGTATCCAAAAATCTCGAAGTATTGGCGTTGATAAAGAGGCGTCGCAATACAAGTAATGACCGTTGTGGCTACCACAGCAGCAAATACTACTGCCGAGAAGGCGAATTGTGCAATTCGGTTGGGCTCAACTCCGTGGAACCGCCTCTTCACAGGACCCGAGCTGACAAGTTGCTGGAAGAGGCGACGTATAGAGTTTCTCGGTCGGAAGATATATAGTGCATCATTGTATGTCGAGTGTCTAGCCATGTACTCCTCTTCTGCGGCATTCCGAGCTGCAGCAACGGAGATCGAATGCCTAGCCATCTCCAAAGGATTTTCAGCGGTCAAGTCGGAGTGAAAGGGATTGTTCTCCCAGCTTCCGAATACTGCCTTGCACTTTTCCAAAATCCCAGATGGTTGCTCGTTTTCGTTGCTTGGGTTTGGGATCGATAGTGCGTTCTCTGGGGAGTCCTCCGACTCGTCTTCCAGCCCGGCGAGGAACTCCCGCAAGGTATCTTCTTCCAACACAACAACCCCTGTCGCAGTATACTCCGGGGAGTCCCTTCGCTTCGAAAGGCTCGGGAATGGAAAAGCACTATCAAAGCCAATTCGCGCTAGAGGCTTTACAAGCTCTTTGCCTTGCAGGAACGCCGCCGTTTGCACCGTTTTTTTGGTTCTAGAGTGAATCTGAAACGCGTTGTTGATCAGAGGAATGAATGCAGGCATCACAAACCAGGATGCTAAGATATACCAGCCAGTGAGGAAAATTGCTCCAATGGAAGCTTCATGAAAGGTCTGCGAGTAAGATGTTACGTTGTACAGGATATCCGTCCATCGAGCTCGCGATAATATTTGAAATATCCCGTAAAAGGAATTGAGCGTGCTTGAAAAAGTAATTTGGATGGGCTCCTCCGCACTGTTGACTGGAATGGAGCCTTTGAAGAGCTGGTTTGCGAGTACGGATACTAGAAACGTCAACAGCAAGACGAAAAGAATCGTGGAGCCCAGACGTCTGCTTGAGAACTGGAGAATGATTCTTTGCACCAATTTTCCCGATGTAGGAATCACAAGAATGATTCGATAGGCCCTAAGAATTTGAAAGATCGTGAGCCCAGCAGAAGCCTTCTTCGACAAATGCGCGCTCAAAAGGAGCAAAGCAATTATTGTTGTGCTTAAAGTAAGGCCGCAATCGACGACATTTCGTGGGCTCCTAAGAAAAACTCGCCAGGGAGCGGCAACTATTCGCAAGATGATCTCAATGTCAAGGAGGAGAGTAACCACTACCCCCGAGATATCAATCCAATTATCAAATCGTGTTGATGGGCCGCGGAAGCACTGGGAAACGAGGTCGTAAGTGATCAGAAGAATCCAGCACCAGAAAGTTCTGGCGCACATATTCTTGCACTGCATCTCCCATGCGGAGAGCCGTTTTGTTGACAAATTCTCGGGCTGTAAGGATCGTTCCCTCGGTTCGAGGACCGGGTTGAAATGCGGAAAATAAATTGCGTAGGAGACCAGGAGAAAGTTAACCAGCCACACTCTGAGGCAAACGATCCCAAATCCAAAGAACAAGGCAGCTGGCAAGTAGTCGGAGTTGATTGTGTCATACATCACCTCAGAAAATGAGGTACCGCTGATCATCACAAAAACGACCTCTAAACCGTTGAAGATGTTGTCAAAGTGCAGGGTTCCATTATATGGGTTGTCCTTTAACATGCAGATCGAGCCTCGTGGGCAAAGATATCCGTTGGGCACTTCGAATCCTGGTTGAAGCGGTTCTGAAGCCTCAAAATTATAACTGGCCACCCACGGAAGTGGAAGGCCTGTTTCATTGTCCAGGTATCCGCTGCAGAAGGTGAACTCATTTACATACGAGGCGCTGAAATTGGCTGAGTCGAGAGGGTCTAGCCACACGCAATGACGCTTGAGACTCGAGTGAAATGCTTGGACTCCGGCCAAGGAAAATAGCAGCGCAAAAAAAGCAATAATGCTCCAAGTCTTAATAAGATAAGGAAACAAGAATTTTATAGTCCGCAACACAGCCTAAGACACATCAATAGAGGTTAGCTAGCGTATATATTTATGGATAGAGTCTAATCTCACAGCGGTGCCATTTGTCAAAGCTAAAAGCCTAAAGATTCTTAGGCAACCAATGGTTCGAAATATACGAATGTGGTACTGGCTTTCAAGGCCGGTGACGCTCAGAGCAATAGAGATCCAGAAAGATATCAATGCTATGAAATCCATTCTGTTGAAGGAATGACGCAGAAATGGTGCCCTTGCCAGCTGTAATCTCTGCACTTGCTCGACCGTGCGGATTCTGTCCCCAATGGCCCGAAGGGAATTAGCATTTAGGGCAATGTCACCTAGGAGTAGTCCCGAGACAATGATCCTGCACAAGATGTCGACAGTAAATATAACCCATATACTAAGAAGAGCCCAGTCTACCCAGACACTTCCCCATCTGGGCAGCTGTTCGTCCTGCAAAGGAAACAGATTTGCTGAATTTTCGACCACTAGAAAGACTAGCTGAGCGATGATTAAAATCAAAATCACAGGCTCTGTTACTGGATAAACCAAAACATCACAGAGTATGTTCCGAATTCGAGGCGAGAAGATAAAGAGAGAGTATCCCCTGAATATATCCGGCATTTCGAGAGTTGAATCAACTTCAGCAGGTGGTATGCTATCTGGTGATGGGAATACACCCGGAAAGACGGACGAGGCACCAGACATTATAGCTGTGGCGTTTATAGAAGGCTGATCTCCAGAGTGCGGCGAGTTGTGAAAGTGCGTTGCGCATGCGGAGTTGGCGTCGAAACTTGTAAAGGCAGCTCGGGGCCAAGGCTTCATGTACTTCGTAAATCTACCAAGAACCCACAAGCTATCGATTAACTTGGAATATACACAGCGATGTGACTCTCAAGACTGGGGGATCGTCAGGCAAAGTAATCGACTCTGACTCCATGAATATCCAAAACATTCAGCAAGGATACTGTCCCCGATGGGTGGCGGCGGTGTTGATTCAGCCTCTGCCAGAAGGACCGAAATGACTTGGCTCTGAATAGAAGTGCTAAGGCGGTCTGAAGCTAGATCGAGCATCCGGACGTGGATCGCGCTTGATCGTGTTTGAAGCGTCCTCGAGACCCCCCGAGAAATGACAGGCAAATTGTAAGCTGTCTGAAGATTGAATCGATTGGAAATTTAAAATCTCCCAGCTGCATGTGTGTGATACCATACGGGAGGTGCAACCGCGGATGCTAAGACAGCGAAAGGAATATGATGGTAGGGCTCGACAGCCTCGGGCGCGTATTACGGAAAGCAACCAGAACATGAAGACTTGGCTCGCCTACATACGGAGGCCTATGATAGGTTCTAACCCCTGTACTGCCAAAACCCCGATGTTTCATCGCAAACGACATTGGCGCTTTGCATCTAGCGCATTCGCACGTTGCACTTGACTTTTACAATTACCTTAGGCATTACAAATACTATATTTAATTAGGGATAGGCCCTAGATCTAATAATATTAAGGTTTAATTACAAATCGTGGATTAATTATATATATTACTCCATCTGAGGGAAAAAAATACCAACAGCTTGCCAATGGTGTCAACAGCGTCAATGGCATGTCAACGGTGCCAATGGTGCGTACGGTACTGGAGTTGCATGTCCAAAATTAATAGCCCCAAAAATTTCGTAGTAACGTGCCAATTGACTGCCAATAGTAAGTGGGTCCTGTACTATTTTAAGCTTAAAACACTCATTAGTAGCTTGGCGTGCGCCTTGGCATGCACGGACAGGAACACCACTTAAAATCTTAGGAATTATATGCTTCTTAAAGACTTAACTAAGAATCTTGTCTTTATAAGGCTCAAAATTAATCTTTAAAGATATTTTTAGTATTACGCAATGCGTACGATACGTTAAAAGTAAGATAGTAAGAGTAGGCTGTGGTGGGGTAAAAAAAGCAATGTTGCAAAAATTCTATTGACCCTTTTGGTCGTTAGGGTCACCCGTAGTCTGGCTAGCGAACCCTTCCCTTCTAGCTGCCTCAGCGAAGATGCGCCAAACACCCAAATTCCAGACAATTTGGCTTAAGTTCTCAGCCGCCCTCGTCACTCGCATCGTCACAATATATTTGTGCAAGGTCTATTGCTATCCAGCACACAACCCTTTGTTTATGAAGCCCGCGAGAGCGTACGGCAATGGATCCGCTCACGGCGTTGAGCGTGGCTGCCACGGTCGTGCAATTCGTTGACTTTGCCATAGGAAGATGCCGTGACGTGAAGGGGCTGTACGACGCAGGTGACGAGTCATTGCTACAAATTGCTAGTTTTGGGGCCACATCTCAAACCTTCGACGAGTTCTCCACTGTGTTTAAGACGAGGCGAAGATTCACGGAAAATGGGTCAGATGACCCAGGGCCAGGTCAAAAGACAGAAGCTGTGGGTGCTGCCTAAGTTGTGGGGAGGGCAGAATAATCACTGACTTTATAGGCGATCGACGGTCTGATCGACCGGTGTTCAGAGGTTGCCAAAGAGCTCGCCAGAATCTTTCAAGGTCTGGAAGGCGCCCGGCGACGCGCCACTGGGAACGTCATCGGGAGCGTCTTTGGGAAGTCATACGCCTACATGAAGGCAGCCTGGAACCACGATGACATTGTGCGACTCACGGAGCGCCTGGAGAAATATCAGAGTCAACTGGTTCTACACATGTTGCTCTACCTCAATATGAAAGCAGAGGCCTCCGAGGAAAATCAAAGCCAAAGACTCGACGCACTTGAGAATAAAATCGTGAAGGTCCTCACTGTATCTGAGGATAAGCTCAACTTGATCCAAAGTCAAAACGCTTCTTTACACCGCCATCTCAATGAAACTGGCGTTCGGCAGACCATGCAACAGGACAAGACCCTCGCGGCCATTTTGACCCTCCAAAACGGAAAGACCAGCTTCCTAAGCCAAAAAGGAACCAGCTTTCCCGTCATAGACAAGGGCAACCAGAAGTTCATGACATTGCGATCGGAAGAAAACAAGACCAGTGCCATGATTAAAGACTTCAAGCCCATTCAGGAAGAAGTCTTAACCTGCCTATACTTCCGCTTGTTGGGCGATCGCTACGACAGTGTTCAGGCTGCTCACGGCAAAACGTATGCGTGGATCTTCAATGGGCGCGAAACTTCGAATGAAGATTACCCAGTCTTGCAGATGAACCTAGTCGAGTGGCTGGCGACCGGCTCTGGCTGCTACTGGATCAATGGGAAAGCCGGATCCGGCAAATCGACCTTGATGAAGTACATCTTGCAACATCCAAAGTCAAAGGAAGCGCTCACCAGCTGGGCTTCAGCCGCAGAACGCGACCTGGTCGTGGCATCATTCTTTCTTTGGCACCTGGGCTCGCCGTTACAGAAGACACAGGAGGGCTTGTTGCGGTCGCTGCTTTATGATATTCTTTCGGCGCGGCCCTACCTCATCTCAGTTGTAATGCCGGAACTGTGGATGGCAGGAGCCAACCGCGACCTGGGCGAGACTCTCAGCTCACCATCACACTCGGAGCTCCTCCGATGGTTCCGGAGGCTGCTGGATCGTGCAACGTCACAGCTCCGATTGGTGTTCTTCATCGACGGGTTGGATGAATACGAGGGCAACCACTTTGAAATTGTCAACTTGATCGCGGCATATTCGGAGAACGAGAACGTGAAGTTCCTAGTATCTAGTAGGCCGATTCCCATATGCATTGATTCGTTTTCGCGATTCCCAAACATCCGCCTTCAAGACCTAACGAAGGAGGACATCAGACAGTATGCCGAAGATCACCTCAGGGAGAAGATTCAGGACAGATATGGAGACCAATGGGACCCCATTATCACGCAAGTCGTTGAAAAGTCATGCGGGGTCTTTCTATGGGTTGTTCTTGTCGTTCGCTCTCTTCTTATCGGCCTTCAGAATTTTGATTATGTTGAAGAGCTCCATCAGCGCCTAGACATCTTGCCGTCCGATCTGAAGGACCTGTACGCCCATATGCTACGAATTATGCCTGATTCATACAGAAAGCAAGCCTCGCAGCTATTGCAGATTAGCCTGCTTGCGTCGGAAGTTCAACAGGGTCAATTTCGAATGACACCGCTGCAGTTATACTTTTCCGAAAAAGACGACGAGGCTGCCCTAGCAACCCCCATCAAGTCCTTATCGATCCAGGAGAAAAACCTTAGATGTCATGAGATTGAGGGCAGGGTCAGAAGCCGGTGCTGTGGGCTTCTGGAGGTCCGTTGCGTTGAATTCCGGCTGCAGCGTAATTTCTCATCAACCGTAGTCAAGTACCAGTGTGTCGACTTTATTCACAGAACCGTCGTCGAATTTCTCAGGATCCACGAAGTGTGGGAGGGCATGTTGAGCCTGACTGCCGATACTCCTTTTCATCCATCGATCAGCCTGTTTCGTTCATGCCTTCTCCTTTGCAAGACGCAGCCTATACAATCCACAATAGCCCTCGAGGAGAGCTCCGTATGGCATTATATGGACCACGGTATGGAATATGCCTCGCTTGCTCAAGGAACACATAGACCCGTACCCAGTTCGATGCTCTCTGACTTGGATCAAGTGGTCTCGTACCACTGGACAAGCGCGTTCAAGTGCACTTTCGGATCTCAGGCTATCGAAACCCACTGCCACTGGACTCATGGCTTCGGTCTCCTAGCCAATAGTGGGACGCAAATTCTATCAGGAGCCATTGGCTCTGCAGCGAGGCCTCTTTGCTTCCACACCTTGACGGTATACCACTGCTTAGACAGCTATATTAAGGACCAACCCCCAAGCACCGATATTGGTCCAGGGCTAGCGAACAGCCAAGCAACTGCGTTATTATTCAATGCTGTGAAATACACTCTCCAACAGAAACCTTGGCCTTTGGCTGTTCAGGAAGCCATGATAACTCGCTGTGCATCTATATGTTGTCAACTTCTAGATCAAGACGCCGATCCTAATGCCAAGTTTGGGATCAGTGCAACCACTGCATGGCACCTTATGCTCGACTTTGCAGTAAAGAATGCGCAGAACACAGAGGATTTCCAAAGGCGATTTCATGGAACAAGCTTTATACGGATTTACTCTCAGCTGCTGCTATCTTTTGCAAAGAGCGACGCTCTCATGAATGTGGCCGTCCCCTGGACTAAAAGGCAGAAGCAGGGCAAGCAAGTGGTGTTAGAGTATTCCGCTCTAAAGGTTTTGGATATTCTATTTTCGCCTCAGCAGGGAGATAAAGAGGGGTTCGCTATATCGAAAGAGCGGAATTTGAGTTTGGCGGCGTTTCACAAGCAGCTTGTAGATACCATGATCCGAAAAGGCGCTGTGATTCGGGAATGGGAAAATGGACAGCTAGTCTCGGGACCTCCCGAGTCTGTTACGGATGAACCTATGACACTCACTATCCCGGCTCCTGGCCGCCGAAGATCCAGATCTGCCGATAGCGAGACGAAAAAGGGAAAACGAGCTGGCTTAAAGAATCTCGGCAACTTTTGGTTGGCTTTAAGTCGGCCTTCGTCTCAGGGTTTCAAAGAATGATTGGGAATAATGATTATTATATTATAACGTCCTTTTACATGTAATGCAAGTCTAAGCTTATGCTCGCATCGTAGAGGTTGTTTTTTAGCCGATCTAATATGTTCTACGAGAAGTTGCGATGCAAAAAGCGGCCTCTCTCTAGTGTTTCCTATGCGCTAGTAATATTATAATCGTCTTTATATACTCAGGAGTCTACGAAGTCCCCTTTTCATTCACTAAACATATAAAACGCTAAAGCTCAGTTCTTAGAATTCGGGGCAACTTCAATACTTAGTTTATTTTCCATTTGTAGGAGAGAACTCTACGCCTAAATCTGCACGAAGTCAGTAGTGGTCTATTATAGCGCTGGATCAGCCTGCTATACTTTTTTTTTACGAGCCGGGATACCCTGGTGTGATTTTGAGACCCTAAAACAGAAGATTTCCAAGAACATCTTTTGTGTTTCGACTCCAGATCCTGATCTTCTCGAATACGCCGGTGAACTGTTTTTGTCAGCGAATTTTCAAGATTCCCTAAATTTGTATGAAATAGACTGGCCTTATATCCAACTCGGCGCCTTGACCCATCCAGTCGTGACTGTACCATAGCTTCTTGCATAGCTTGTGGCACTCCGTCATCTGTTTCATTATAAATCCGAACCTCGAAACCAATAAGATTCCCGATTGTTCTCTTTTCTCCTTTCTTATTTTCTATGGTTGTCTCAACCTGGGTGATCATCATGATACCCCAGTAGATGAAACTTGCTGCCATGATAAAAAAGAAGATGATAGGCCACCAGTATCGGGGGGTTGTGCCTGGTGTTCGCGGCTTCGCACCCCAGATGATAACAATAAGGTTTCCCCCACCGAAAATGATAGGTAGAAGCCGGAAAACCCATTTATTAGTGATGATCTCTGGCTGCCAACCAGGCCACTGTTGTCGCATGCGTCTGGGGAGCCTATACAGGCCTAAGGTCACAATTGCTACGCGATGTCATCACTCCAGTCCTGTAACGCGAAGATAGTTGCCAAAATTTTACTCACTCCCAATAATAATATGACCATACGTGAATAAGCCAACAGCAAAACCATATCCGTCTGCAGTTGTCGGACAAGCGAGGATGAGAATCACAGAAGAAACCCAGTGCAGCGCAAGGGCACCTTTCGGCGTGTCGATATCCTTTGAAAAGAATTTCCAGAATGGAAGAATCCTCTGAACCGCAATCGCTTGCTTTACTAGAGTCCAATTTAGCCTAGCTGATTTACGATATCTCAAGTGTGCATACCCTTCGAGCTCGTGAATGTAACTGCGATAAGGTTTCCCAACGCTGACAGAGCGATGCAAACTTTCAATCCAAGAGATGATCCGAAGGCCTAAGAATTGTTTTTCAGCTTAGAGAATTGGTGAAATTTGGAAGAGACATACCCTGGGAGCGAACAATATAGCTACTCCAAGATCACTCTGCGTGTTTGTAATGGTTTCGTAGTCACAAGCGAGATACTAGTAATATTAGACGATCTAGTGAAATTTGAGGCACCTTGGACTCACATAGGCTAATGTCACCAGAATATACAGAATAGTGACCAATCCAACAGCCAAGAAAGCACCGATCTTAAGCGTTCGGGTCGGGGCTCGAATCTCCCCAGCGACCTACTTGTAGTCAGTGACAATTTAGAAAACAGAATCTGGGTTTGTATCTCGAGGATGATAGGTCGAGAGAAACCGTAATATACTCAACTTACGTAGTTGGCATTTTCCCATCCCTGATATGCGTAGAAAATTAAAACCATTGCAGCGAGGCCGTTGGCAGATCCACTGGCTCCATGGCTTTGAGTGAAATCATTGAGTCCAGAACCCTCCTTGCTCGCTGATTTGACTCCTGCAACAAATACTGTAAAGAGGAGAACAATCTTGAATAGAGCAAAAAGCTTGTTTAAGAACAATCCAAATTTGTTGGAAAAGTAATGAAGAAGGCAGACAGCTGATAAAATAACAATTGCAACAAAGCGGATAAGACGATTGTCTAATTCGGTTGTGCTTTTGTAGTTTGAATCACTTGCAAGTATAACTTGCTTGGCAAACGTGATCGAGTTTCCATAGGAGTTGCCGAGCACTAGAAAGAAGCCTGAAAACATTATTGTTGCCAATAATTCAGGGTATGGATACACTTCGTCTAGCTACTTGGGAATCAGTAATGTTGGGAATAAAATGTTTAACAGAAGGTTTAGTTAGCTGTTCGAATAATCCTAAGAAAGAACTCACATAGATAAGCTCACCGCCATTGAAGGGGAGTGCACTGCCGAACTCGAGATAGGCGATGATGCTGGGCTCCAAGTTAGTACCGATCCAAGAGAAATACCGGCAATTTTGTGAACTGACAAGATTGAGGTAAAGACACCACCCGTGGCCCAAAGAATCAGACTGATTGGTTTGGACTTGGTGTAAAATAGAACCGAACCAGGTGTGGTGAAGATCCCGGTACCCACCTAAAGTCAAATATTACTAATATTCACGAAGCGCAAGGGGTTATGCTAGGTATTGTTACCATTTTATTGAAAATGAGAGCCGCGACATCCAGCACGGAGAGATTTCTTCTCGGTACTATTGTGTCGGTCTCGCTTACTCGGTCGGAATCCATGCGGCGCCTCGATCTCTCTTCAGAGAGAGTGTAATCACTGTCCTGGTGATTCTGTAGCATGGCTGGAACACCAGGGAGAGTTTCCACCTTGAATTTTCCGTCGTGTTCATGTCGCGGATTGTCATGTCCCAAAGCTCCATCCTTGGTATGCTCTTCTATGCCGCCAAGTTGATTCTCGGCAACAGACTCATGGACAGCATTCTCATAGGGCAAAACTCCGACTGAACGCTCGTCGATTATCTCGTCGCCAGTGTCTCTTCCTCCATCTCTTCCATTTGTGGGAACAGATCTGGACCGGGCAGAGGACGTTCCACCCGGGAGTCGGGCACGGCGTGTTAACACCGAGTGCTCCTGTCCAGGCCCAGGATTGAGTGCTGCATGTCTAGGTTGGTAGGGAGAGAGGCGCGACATGATTTCCTTTCAATATTCCACAGAGGTTGGAATTGGCGCACGAAGTTCTCTCGCTCGTGGAGACTTCCTCCAAACAGGAGGGCGAAATGTCGAGGTGAAAAGAGTCAGCGTTTAGCGTTGCCTGCACGACAATCGCTTTGGCAGGTCAGGCATCAGGAAGGCACTGTCCCTCAGGATTGGTGGGCTGTGTGAGACGCCAGCCTGGGCTGGGTGCTGCGCCCGATTTGCTTTTTCGTGACAAGTCTCTTGGCCGTGCAGTGCAGCTCACCAATGAGTGCTCTTCGCCACGAGTGATCTCATGCCAGTACAGCCATTCTTCCAGCCAAATGCGGCTCCAAATCTGGCCGAAATCATGAAACATAAAAGCCACACGGCACCGCCAAGTTCCACTTCCCGTGTGACCCATTTCGCTCGAAAGATTGCTTGCCCAGGCTTCACACAAGGCAGAGAAAAGAAGGGCTATGGCCGTCAATGCTTCCCCTGTGTACGTCAATCAGGTTTTGGAAGAAAGGTAAGCTGCACGCAACCTTATTTCATTGGACAGGCACTTAAAATTACCAGGTACATCAAGGTCGCTGTGTTGGAGGAGTTTCTCGACACCAACGCGGAGGAATTTGGCACCGAAAGATCAATAGAGGTGAGCACAGTTTTTTAAGCACCCTGTACGAATTATTTAACTGACTAGAGAATGGGTATCAATAGGTTGGTCGTGACAACAGAATAACTCTCGTTGTTCTCAGAGAGTTGACACAGGTAAGCAATAGCTTCGACACAGAGTCTTCAGCATGTCTAAGCTGAAGAGGATGAAATCGTAGCCCTTCAGATTAAGAGCGATCCGGATCGATTCAAGGACCCTTTTGCGTTGACTTAAGGAAGAAAGGAAAAGGACAAAGGAGGCTGGACGGGGTACGGAGATGCAACGAGACCGAGGTGGAGGTCGGTTGGAATTTTTTTATAATTGTAACCAATTGCGATCTCAGCATTTCAAAATCAAGTAATATTTTCCCTGCTATGAGGCTTGGTTAAGCAAAAATTTCAGGTGCGGCTGGCTGTTTGGGTAGCCCGTGATCGGTAGGTGCATTTCAGGGCTCCCCACTGGCTTCCCGTGCCCCGAGGCTATGCGAAACTAATTTGCACCTCCGCCTTTGAGATGCTGTGCTAAGGTATTTCCACTTTCGAGCCGCCGATCTATATCCTTTAACGTCCTTCTCGACATACATCAATTGCCCTTTTCTCGTTTTCTGGATAAGCAAAGCTCCTTTAACTCTCAAATCAGAGCAATGGAGAAAGTTGACGCCAACGTGCCAGAACTTTCGCCTTGGTCATCAGGGTCAAATATTTCCGACGCTTATGCCTTCGATGTGGCCCATTATACGCGCCTGCTAGTGGAAAATTCCAAGAGACTTTTTGTTCAAGATGATCAGCTATGGGTCAAAGTGATAGAGGTCGGCGAGAGAGGTGCGTCGTGTTGTCTAGGCTGTGCGTCCATCTGAATTGTTGCTAACAATATGACGAAATCTAGACATAGTGTTCCGAAACTTTTTAGAATTTGACACATATTTGCGGTCCAGTATATTTGTGGGTACACGTATAATGTATGAGAAGCCAGTTACAGAGTTTGAGCAATTTCTGACATTACTTGCAAGATTCGTACCCCAGAGATTCTCGTGGGACAATCTCTTGATATCTGAAGCTGGCCTACGATTGCTGTTATCACATTTCAAGATATTCCCAGCTCTGATAGACGTGGTCAATGCCTTTGGAGCGCAGACATCCTCTGAGAGCGACTCAATCAGCGCCTGTCACTCTTATGTGCGAGCCAACATCTCCGGTCAGTCTTGGCTACCCCCTCCCCATACCATTAAATTACCGGGGCTCATCCAAACATTGATAGAGTGTTGTTACGTTGCACGACATGTCGAAGCTCATGGCCGAGAAGAATTAGATGATCCATGGTCAATCAGGCAAATGGGAGTATATCATCAACGAAACGTATGGGATAACACAAACACATTCGTCATATTCAATCCTTCCAAAACTTTTCAACAACGATTAAAAGATGCACAAATCAATTCAACTCGTCTCCCAACATGGAGAGATATTCACACCCTTGCTGCTTCTTGCTCAACCACTCCATGGAGGCGATACATCAGCCATATTGAATTGAAATTGGCCCAACTGGTAAACGCTTGCATTTACTATACTCTACAAGAACATGAATATTAACTCTACGGTCGCTATTTCGTGGCTTCTTCGTGTAGTATGCAATTTAATTCAGAAAGGACACCGCTAATTTTCTTTGGGCTTTTGTAGAAGACGAAGGCACATCTATCCGCCGTGGCGGAGAGCGATACACCGCAGATGAAACCAAAATTGAAAATCGAGTTTGAGGACACACAAAACATTGAGGTCATCCATGATAAACTCCACAAAGTGAACCATATACTGGTTTCAAACCTCAATGTCTTCAAAATACTATCCAACTTGATGAAGGGCAACAGCGGGGTTCAAGACCAGTTCGAAACTGGTGAGAATAGGTTGGCATTCTGCACGGACGAGACTGAAATGCAAAATCGGCGAGTGAACACCCTATTTCAAAGAATCAATGCCGCATCGGGATTGGTAAGATGTCACTTACGCTCACACGGCATTTAATCCTTGAAACTTACCACAGATATAGATGCGAAATATCATCGACTTCCGAGGCTTAGAAGCCTTGAAGACGAGTAGCGCAATGTCCACAGAGCTTTCGCAGCTCGCACACAAGAGGGCCGAAAAATCACAGAAGGATGCACGCACAATTACAACCGTCACGGTGTTTACCATGATCTTCCTTCCGGCTTCATTTGTTTCGGTAAGCCAATAGAATTCTCCCACTGCCTGATCTTCGTCCTCGTGGCTGACAAAGCTTGTCTTCAAAGCAGTTTCTTAGCATGGGATACATCGAGTTAGACACGCACGACCGAGTCTCCTTGAAATTTGGGAGTGGGATGTGGATCTTTGGTATTATGACCCTGTTTCTTCTCATTGTAACCTTGGGTTCGTGGCTATGGTTGGAGATCCGGGCGAGGAGGCCCAAAAATCTTGGCGACTGTGAAGCGAACTAGCCGTGACGGCAGTGGCTCCAGGGCGTTCGGTGAGAAAATCGGGGTGTTGGGGAGGACAAGCGGGCAAGGGTTTCCGAATGGTTTAGCTTCAGAAAGCAACGGCTCCGTCCCTGAGACATGGCCAATATCTGGACTTCTTTAAGCGCCACAACCTCTACAAAACCCCCACACCTAGTGGCAACTTCTTCCTTTTGCATGCGGCCTCTTCCCTCCCCAGCCTTCAGACACGTGTGGGTTTGCTCGGCAGTGATCCTTAAGTCATGCCCCTCACAAGCTCTGCCCCACGGCTTCTGCCTTGACTTCCACCTCTTCGGCCATGGAACCATCTTCTTGGGCATCATTCTGTCCAAAGCATTGCACCTGCCCTCAAGAACAACAATCCGGCGGTGCTGCGATGCCACTCTTGTGTCGCAATGTCATCGTCGCTCGACGCCGTCGAAGCGCGATGCTCCAGCGCTCGCCATCACATTAAGCGACTCTTCGTGGGGGACGAGACTCGGCCCCGCCAACGCTTCATACCTGCTGACAGGCTTCGATCTTATCTCACAAGATCGAAAGTTACATGGTTACTTGAATGCAATTGTCCAACCTGTATCAAAGATCATGGGCTATTCCGGCGGGGGCGAATTGAGTTTATCGGCAGCATCGTGGGGCATGAAAACTACTCGAACACTCAACCAGATCCAGGAAGGACAGCGTTGGTACTCTTCGCCCTTCTTATTTTTATTGAGCATCCATTACTTATCCTTGGCTTCGTCATGCGGCGGTGCTCTGATCATGCACTCGAAAGGACTCCTACGCTATTTTCTCTGGATCATCTGCGGCAAGAATATTGCAAGGAGTATGCCCACCGTGTTGGGGATTCACAGTTCAAGGAATTTGCAACTGACTTTGCCGAATACCTCCCAAAGTTTGCTATACCAAGGATGGATTCCGGGGAGTATTCGGTCTATGGGCCAGATACCATTTTGCCTTTCTTGAAAGAACAAAAGATCGGAGTACGAGGGCTGGACGGCGAAATTCGACAAGAAGGTGCTTATGGTAAAGTCTATTCCTTTCAGATCTATGAAGAGTACAGGCAGTTTCCAGTGAGTGATCAATTCTCTAAGGCAAATATCTCGTGTTGAACCATGCTGATCCTGCGTAGCATGCGAAGGAGTACACGAGGTTCGCGCGAAAGGAGCTTGACAGCGCCAGCGAGTTGGCCTTCACCCTCGAGAACAAGAATCTTGAGCAGGCGACGACTCTACAAGATCCGCACATTGTCAAAATGATCAAGGCATACAAGCATGGCGATACCTTCAATCTGATCTTTCCTCTAGCGAAGACCAATCTTGACCATCTCCTTCGAGATCCCACCTTCGACACCAGCAACTCTATACATGGGCCTATTGAGTCTCGTCCGGCATGGAACCAACTGCTTGGTATTACAAAGGCATTGGGGAGAATCGGCGGACCGAATGGGGCTGAGACTATTTTCGGTCCCAGTGAGAAACAACAATTCCAAGGGGTGCACTTCGATCTAAAGCCAGCAAACATATTGGTTGATGATAATGGCACTTGGATCATATCTGATTTTGGACAATCCACCTTTCGAGAAACCACCAGGAGTTCTTCGAGGGTTGTGAACCAGGGAGGAACCGATGCGTATGCACCTCCAGAGATCGATAACCTTGATTCCCGTTTTAGTCGGCGGTACGATATTTGGTCCCTCGGATGCATTATGTTAGAGGTCGTGGCATTCGTCCTTCTAGGCCATGACGGCCTGCATGGCGAAGGGGGGCTCGATCATGTTCGCTTCACAAAGTCCTCTTGGAGCTCACGAAAAGATCACAGATTCTTCTGTCAGGAGTCCCCAAAAGGTAAATGTATTGTCAAGAAAGGAATTGTTACCTTCATGAATTCTTTGAAGGAATTGGGCTGTCTTCGTGGCCAGCAGAAAAGTCGAGTGTTCGTCGAGAGCATTCTCGAACTAATAACAAAGATGCTGGAACCCGAGGCCGAGTACAGAATCGAGATTGGCGATGTCATTCGACGCCTCAACGCAGCTATGGACAGTGCACGAGAGGATTCGCAGGCACTGGGTCAAATGAATGCCGAACACGGTGAACGTTCCATTGGCGAGTGTGCTCTTAAGGGTATCCGGTACGTCTTGAGCCTGCATGACAGGGTCCGAAGTCTGCGAGTAAGATCGTCACCGCTGACTTCCCAAAGCATTTGGCATTCGAGACAAAACGATTGGCAATCGGTCTCCTTGCGTATATTTGAAGACTCAGATTTCAATCTGCGCACCTGTACAGTTCTGAAAAACAATACTGCCCCAAGTGAGGACCATCGTCAGTCTCCCTTGTAGTCAAGCCCCAATCAAGATCTTAACTACTGATCGTGTATAGTTATAAGAAGCTCGGTCATGATCATTCCGCGGTACGCCTTTCGCGACAAGGAGACGTCGGCAACCGCACTCTACTTCTCCCACATAAACCAAGGAGGGCCAAAATATCCAGGCTCAGTGTTCTCCTTTGACAAGTCACAAGGTATGTCAATTGACTGAAAATTCTTGCCTTGTCATAATTAACAGGTTTCAAGACGCTTGGGTTGTGCAAACTGCTCTCACAGGTCAGAAGGTAGAAGCTAGGTCTGCTGCATTTTCATTCGTCCTTTTGCAACCGGAGCTGACACTATACTCAGCTTCCCTCTTGAGAATATAAAGTATGAGGAGTATACTTCCTTCAGTGGGAAGCTCTCGCGACTCCTCCACACCAAAGGTGAGAAGAAGGAAGGCTATTACAAAGATCTCGGGCCTGGCACTGTGCAGCTGTGGTCCGAAGTTTCTGATGAACAAGAGGTTTGTCGCTCCATTGTATGTAGAGTATGGGGCTCTGCTGACCTAATGACTAGAAACCAAGAAAAACTAGTATTGTATCTTCAACTGGAGGCTCACCTCGCCCTGTTAGGATGCAGCCACATCAACAGCCTGGATATCGACCAGTTCCTCTGCGTCGAGTGGTAATATTCGTTCACAAATCAAGGAAGATAATTTTGGTTCCAAGTAAATCTCATTGACAATAAGTTCCTTCTCTCGCTGACAACTTCGACACAGTGGACCGTAATTGGTGTGAAGACAACAAGCGACGAGATGGGGAGCCTGCGGGGTTCCTTCAGCTCATCCCCCGGAATCCTGCTCGAGATCCATCCTTCGTAGCAACTACACTTCTTCCCTTGAGACCGGACGATGATGGTTCCTTTGCGGGTATCCCACTTTGTTCAGCAATCCTCCACAGTATCGAACACCAGAATCGCTTCGAATGCGTTTCGATCGGCGTCACTTTCCGGACCGAAGACTCCAGAAAAAAGTTTTCGGAAACATCTCGCGGTATGTGGAAGGAGTGGCATACGCAAACAAAAGCAGCTGAGCGCCAGCCCGGGTACACTCGTGTGCCACCGCCAGTACAGCGTGCGCCACTAATACCTCTAACCGTACAAAATCAACCGAAACCTCAGTCAAGAATCCGATCTTGGAACCCCCTCCGGACTTCTTCAAGCAACACGAATAAATCGAGCGGGTCTACTTCTAGAGAAGATGCCGTACTACCTGCACCACACAGAGGAGGGGGCAGGGGGGGACAGGGGGGGGGTCAAGAAGGCCATTGAAGAACGGCGAAGCTAACCCATGACCATTCCTCGCTTCAAGAGTTTAAACGCATGTCTTCTAAAATATACTCAATAGACAGCACCATTTAGAGACTTTTCAATTTCGATGGTCTCCCTGGTTCGCAGTGCAATGCTTTTGTTCAATGGAAACTCGCAATACCGCAGATTCGAGCCTTGCTGAGTCGAAGGTTCTGAATGAGTTGGAGAAATGTCAACAACTAACTTTCACATCAAAAAGTTACAAATGCCTTCCACCCCACTCACAAGAACTTATCACTGAAGACCCTTGACCTCTAACTCCACCTTCACAGAGAACCTATTTTTTTGCCAATCAATAGCAGAAACCAAATATTCCAGAACTCGAAACAGCAATTCCATCGCCGAACCAGTGTCAAACAGAACTATCTTTCGGCAGTAGCAATGTCAAGCAGCGACGGCAGAACTGCCAAAGCCGAGCAATTTCCCTGAAAGGTTGCGGCTCTGAGCTTACTCATCCTTGACAGCCGGATCATCGGTTGGTAGCAGAGTAGTTGCTACGTCTTCAGCTGGCAAGATCGACAGACCTGGCGCATCTGCCGCGATTGAGAAGAGATGTTCTTCTCTTGCACTAAATGGATGAGTCGTTGCAGTCCCGGCCCTATCAGAAGCTGGAGGAGGGGCAGGTGCATCGGCGGGGCTTGATGGTGCTGGACCAGCTTCAACCATATCATCATCAGGTGCTGCCGAACCCTCGACATACTCCACCGTTAAATAATCCTTCCAACCTCTCTGCTTCATCAACTGCAGAACTCCAAGCACATGGTTTTGCCCTAATTCCTTCAGGTGTGTCTGCGCTCCGCCCAAGCTCCCATCTCGGTCCACACCATGCCAGCGTGTAGCGATCGACGTGATCTGGTTGGGGTAGAGGAGTCCGATGTGTGGTGTAATCAGTGTCTTAAGGCCTAGGTAGGTGGGTGGAATGACAGGGAGGTGGACGGGGAGGTGCCAGGAAGATGAGGTTTGAGGGGCTTTTTTGATGAATTGAACCAGAACGAAACACATTGTGATGGTGGTGGACGGATGCTTCTGGGTTGGTAGCGCAACTTGCGTGGGAACAGTCAACGGTATGCTGAGTTGAGAGAAGTAGATCCCATGAGGTTGAAGAGGGATTTTTTGGGCAGAGAGATCAGAACTGATATATAGATCTATCGACAAAGGTTCTCACAATCAAAGAGTTCTATAAAACAAAAGCCGCCATATTCAACTATCCGTGAAAACATAGAGAAGTCTTCATAGTATGTTGGATTTTACAAGGCAAAAGTTGTGATACTGTGAAGTGTTTGCAACGAAACAAGAAAGTCCTCCTTTCAAAACCGGTTGAACACATAAGGAAATCTTCCCTTACGTCCAAAGAGAATAATTACAAGAGCACCTTTTGGAGCAAATTATAGATTAAAGCTATCGGAAAGCAAAAAATGACGAAAAAGGTTGGTTCTTTGAATTTTCTAGAAGATGAAAGGTGGAGTTGTGAAATAAATTGAACCAAGAGCAAATTCTGTTAATATATAACAATATAATACCTTGGGGCCCTAACATGGCTGTGGGGACAAATTTGCATAGGCTTTGGCACTCAAAGGAGAAATACTTACTATGTGAAAAGAGGAATAAGGCGTGTTGAGTCCGGTCAGGCTGGAAAGATTGATCAAATGAACCGCCCCTTTTCTTTAAGACAGACCTAAACGTTTCAATTCCAGGTCACTTTGTATTAGCACCCAAACTTCAATTAAAGGAGAAAGATAGCCAAATGAGGGTCCAAATTCTACTAAGCAATACAATGCAGGGAAATCTAAACTCAAAATCGAACTAAAATCATCCAACCAGCTCTCCTTCCCCGCCACCCACGCCACCCAGTCGACATCACTTCCACGTCACCATCTAAAGCGCCAAACAAGATCCCGAAATCTGCGTCTGAGGTGACCCGACATCCACAGTCTGCCTTCCAACAACGACAGTATGACTCCCATCGATTCCGTCAAAAGAACAAGTTGCGCCACCTTCAGAGTGGATGTGAGAGATGCTCAAGGGATTATCTATGTATTGTAATTAGTATTCATAGAGTCAAAGCTCAATTTGGGGAAGACACATACTGATATAGAACTTAGAGCCATCTGCAAGAACAGACTCCGTGAACTGAGCATCTGCTGCACCAATGAATGTGATTTGTGCCCTAAAGCCATTGTAATCTTGAGGAGCTGGTGCGGCGGCAGCGAGCGTGGCAATGAGAGCGAGCAGAGTGGTGGTAGTGAAAGTCTTCATTTTGATGTGTTATAGCAAGAATCTGAAGTTTGGGTGCTGATTTTGGGATTAGATTGAAGGAAGAGAAGCTGAAGATGCGAGGAGATGAGATGTCTGATGTTTGAGAATAAAGAAGGAGCTTAGATGTACTACACCTCACTTATATGCTTAATTTGCGTGGCAATCTTCGAAGCGGTGTTCGAAACATCATGTCCGGCTCGGGCATCACGACCTCTCCGAGCACTGCTCACGAGAGCTGTTTTGATAACACGAGCTGAGGACTAAAATAGCATTCCCTGAGCTACCTTCTGCAAACAAATCAGAAAGCCCTTAATTCTCGTGTCAGCCTCACCTCAATGACGAAGTTCCACAGGTCCGCTGCGCATGCTGACCGAGCGGGCTACCAAGTGGACACCTGCATAGAATGACCCGATGTTTGCTCGGCTTCAGGGCTGAGATGTGCTCAGAAGTCGTGTGACTGAGCATAATATAAAACAAATACGCATGTTCTTTATTTAGAAGCTCCGGAAAGCTTAGATGTCGTAAATGTCAACATTTGACGTGAAAGTGCTAAGCACGTGATTAGTCAACAATAGCCCTGGGCTCGTATTTTTGTGACCCGTCACCAGCTGACCAACGCGAGAAGTTTTAAGCTTACATTGATCGGCAAGCTGTGGAGAATTGTTTGCGTCATCGGTCGGACGTCGGAGAATTGTGTTTGTTTAGACCACCTAAGATTATAGTTTTTGTTACGCAACGCTTCGTATTTCAGACCGGAGACATTACTGCAGATGCTGCAAACAAAGCTACTGCGGAATAAGGGTGATATGCATCGTCTGAGACTTGAAAGCAACACTGCATATCTGCCTTTGTATAGGGACACTTTCGGCAGTCCCGTAGCTACTCGATTGACAAGCCTGTCTTCCTCACAATTGCGTTCTCAACCGTATCTGTGAGATAATCGCTCAATGGCCGTACCGGAATCATAACGGACATTTCTACGGTTTGAGTGTTGTAGTCCCCATATGTGATATACAGCAATAAACACCCTGCGGCGAAAGTCGGAGATTTGGCAGTATGTTCATATGGAGGACGGAGTGGGGAGTTGATACATTTTGCAGAGCCTCGTGTGTTCTCAACAGGCCTATCTCGATGTCAAATTCTGATTGATCCGGATATTCTTCGTAGAATGGGGGCTAATAAGTAAATTGATGCCCCTCCTCCTATGCTCCTTGAGCATCAAAGACTTGCCGGCAGCCTGCTCAACGCTCCAAGCTGGATACACTTGTATAATGCAGGGCGGAGAGTACGTGGTAGGCCCCGTGGAGGACGTTTTGCATTGCAGCGAGTCTGCTTGTGAAGTTGAGGGAGTTGATAGAAGGAAAACGAGTTAACGCGACTTTAACCCCTGTCTTAAGGTTATTTTTAGGCCAACACGTGATCAGTCCGAAAACCTTCTTTCGACGTTCCTCTCTCTGTTCCTTCTTCCTTTACTACATACTGTCACTTACACCAACTTCTTCTGCAAAGTCAATTGCAACTGACCCGCTCGTTGACCGCTGGAGGATGCTGCGCCTACATCCCAGAAATGATATCGAGCGAATTCCCAGATCCATCATTTCGGGAGACTGGAACTTGGGGATTGAAGCGTGTAGTATCATGTTCAACAAACTTTTCTTAATCGAGTCCTTTAAGGCCGATTTCGAAGTTCATCTCATTTCCAAGTCACAACAGGTCTTTTGTTCAGCAAACAGAATCCATTTGCATGTTTCACTGGTCTTCTTTCCTGCTAAGTAATCTTACATGTGCAAAAGCTTAGCCCCAGCCAAGCCCAAGTCCACCGCCTCTCACTCTGCTTGCTTTGAAGGCACTCTCCTGAGAATTTACTGCTATTAATCCACTCAAGCATTGCTCCTGCCAGCATCTTCGAAGCAGCCGAACCAAAGTCATGACATTGTCACACACATCAACGCCTCTCTCAGTCCACATCAAAACTGCTACCACAGAAGCGCAACCTATAGCGCCATATTCCTCATTCTAGGCCAAATGTCTCTGTATTGGATTTGACGCCGAAACGCCACCAAAATGAGACCCCACCATGGGTTCGGCCATGTTCTCCCACTAAGTTCACAATGACTCTAGATATATGCTCTCCCCATCTCAAACCACATCTTCTGCTCGTTGATGTAACCTCAAAATGGAGTGTGCTCGAGAATAGAAAACTATCCACGACAGAGTTAGTGAGGGCTGGGGCCTCGGAATTGAAGGTAGATCTCAACTCCTGGGTGAGAATTTGGTGGAAATTGCGAGGGCCCGCTAGTTCCATTGAAACTACCTGAGCGTGGCTTCTGTGGTTATCGGCTTTGTGCTGGTGGGGTGGAGGTCTGTGGTATTCTTGTCGTAATGCGGTTGCAGCATCTGACTGCACTGGTGTTGTGATGGAGACTGCCTAACTTTGAGTAGCTACTGTTTTTTTGCAGGGCAACTGTAGAATTTGAAGCCTGCGAAGCTGTCTCAAACGGGACATCCTGTTGGGTGCGCAGAGTCGGTCTCGTAGCTTTTGCTGGCATGCTCATTGCCGTGAGAACCGTTAGATGTGAAGGTCGGAGTAATACCAGACCTTATATATCCGGGGAACAAGAACCGAGCCGTATCTCGTCTTGTTGGATGACTTGCAGTTCCAGACTTTCACCGAGTATATCTTGGCGGTCATCTTTCTGCAGAAGATGCAGGCGTTTTGGCATGTTGGGTGATTTTAATGTGAATTCAATCTCGAGAGGGCGGTTTTACTGTACAGACCATGTTTGGTCCATGCAACAACCTGCACTTGTTCCTCGGGATGGCTGAAATCACCAGTGCCATGGCTATTAGTATCCCGTTTATCCGGAGCGACATTGGCGGAGACAGCTGGGGCCGTAGTGACCCCTGGCTCAGCAGCTTCGTTCCATGCGAGCTCTGTACCATTTGCTACCACCACTGCTACGAGCTTGCTTCGGGAATGCATCAAGAGCCAGAGCAAGACCACACGGTCTTTCGCACCTCAGCTCAGCAGTCTGACCTCCAACACAAGCCATGCTATCTCGTATTAGGGTCTTGCAGTTGTGGACTTATCAACGAAGGCGAGCGAAGACTCCATTGACAGATTGACTGGAAGTCTTCTTGTAGGTGTAGACGCCTGGTTGCCTGTTGGAGAATGGGCATGGTGCTTTCATTTCCCGCACCGAACGGTGAGAAGTTGGACGGTTTCCTTTTTGTTGTGGTGAGTTAGTCAGAGGGTCACTCCAGAAATTGGAGATCGATCTTACTGCTCGGAATTGAAGTCCCTCGTCTCTGCGTTATTCTCTTGTATGCGTAGGTGCCAAATTACTTCTTTGGGGTAGCGAACGGCATCTGTCAGTGTATTCTGTGGTGAAGGTTGTCTTGCTGGCCATAGTGAGAAAGGTGCTACACCTGGCAGTTCAAGCGGAAGTTGAAACACGTTGTACCTGAAAAGCTTACTGAATTACCAAGATCACAACTGCCCGTTAGAGGCTTTGGGTGGCTTCAAATAGTCTCGAGGCGCGTTGTAATGTAAAGTTGTTGACGCGAGGGTGAATTTCCAGAAGATGGTTTGGATCCTGTGGAGGAAAGGCCTTAGTTGAACCGAAGGTGACCTGCAGCCCAACCCTTCGGCTTGCAGAACAGCATGAACAGCTGGGAAGAGATCAAGCAGCTTGTTTATTATCAGTCTTGCCAAAAAGAGACGATCAATGGGAGCAACGTGCAGTGGAGAGAAAGTGCTCGGACTGTTGCAATAGGAAGTCGATGAGGCAAAGACACTGGCGATTAAGAGATCAAAGACGGTCAGACAAGGAAAGAGGATGCCTCAATAAAAGAGTACCCTTTGGCTTGTACTCAAAGAGGTAGGTATAGGAAGCTATTAGAAGACAGTGCTCGCAGGGTTGTCCCAGTGAGATTAATAAGTATCAAGCTATCATAAAGTTAACAAACAAATATATAAATATATAAATTTAAGAGTATTAAACTTAGTTTAAAGATAACTTTAAATATTAAAGTATTTAACTAATTTATAAATTTTAATATAAGAAATTAATTAGGTTTTAAGTATTAACTCAATTATAAAAGTAATCTTACATATTTAATATATTAATTACTTAAAATAATTTAATAAAAACTAGAGAAAGTTATAATCTTAAAAATAATAAAATATATATCTTATATATATTAAGTATCGCAGTGAGAATCACTGATTTGGGGCTAGCGCAATCGCTTTACTTAGTCAGGATCTGTATACTTACTTTCTAAAGCTTCACACTTCACTCAAGCTCTTTTCTAGCTAGTTCAATAAACTCTTTTACTATTTAATACAACTCCCTACTCTGCAATCTTTATATATATTAGTAATAATATATATTATAAAGCTATTATCTAGTTAAGCTATATAAATATAATTTTAATTTAATTTATATTTCTATATAAATATATATATATATATTAACTTTATAAGAACTATTTATTAATATTTTTTTATATTCTATCTAAATAATATACTTTTTATATTTTAATAATAATAGTAAGTTTAGTCTAATATAATTCTTTAATAATATTTTCCTATATATTATACTTTTATATATATAGAAATTAGAGAAAATTATCTTTAAGAATATAATAGAAAGAAATAGAAAGAGTAAAATAGAGTTTAATAAAATCCGTTTCTATAAAAAGCAGGCCAAATATAATAGCTTATAATACTTTTAGGTAAATATATATTATATTAATAAATCTAATAATATCGAATTCTAAAATAATATTAATTTAATATTTTAATAATATTATAATTCGGCCAAATACTATATCTTTTTAGTAAATATATCAAAAGCTAATACTAATACTATTAACTAGTTCTACTAGCTATTATAGGAATTAGTATTTCAAAAAAGCAGATAATTTAAATAAGACTAGACTTTTTAAAAGCTTATTATTTCAAAATTAATTAAGTTCTTTTCTAAGAACTATAAGCTTTTTAGTAATAAAAAGTTATTAGAATAATATATTTATAAGATAATAAGAATTTCTAGTAAAGCTCTTTAAAAAAGTTCTTTATTTACTTTTAATATAGC